AGTAGTTGAACAGTTGTCTCCAGAAGACATATCCAAGTGCCATCTCTTGGTACTGTGAATGTACCACTATTTTAGAAACAACGACTTTGCAGATATAATTAAAATTTTAGGATAAAATTATTCTGATTGTAGGATAAGTCTTATATCCAATAGTAATGGTATACTTAGGAAAACAGAATGCCTCTCATCACCGAGTGAAGACTCCAGTTCTGAGAATGGCTTACATGTAATGAAGTTGTTGTCCAAAGGGGCCCATGGAGATCCCCAAACCACCTGGGATATTGCCAAGGCTACTGGTCATTCTCCACAAACTGACAGCAAGGCCCTAATGTTGAAGGCAACAGCTACACAATTCATTGAATGCGAAGAAATTGCATTGGTATCCACCTAGAACCTTCACTCCTATTGGCTAGTGTTTGTGGTACTAGAAGGTTCTCTGCATACTACCAGGAGAAAAAGATAAACACTATCCGAGCTATAAAGTCTTAGATCTACAATGGTGAACTTCCTGCAAGATGTACTAGTACAAAAGAGGCTGAAGGTTGTAGGAGTAACCAACTAATATCTGATTGAATTTAAGGCCTACTCCATGAGATGGAACCCATCTCTGACACTGTTCAAGAGGCCAAGATCCTGACACTAGATAGACCAGAAACATAGGAGAAATCCAAAAACTACTGCACTCAGAGATCCAGGGTCCTGCTCAGCTACCATCAGAAAAAGCTTCCTTCTGTAGGCCATGGGAACAAACAAAGAGGCTCACAGTTGGACATGCTCAGAGAGTAAGAGACCTTGGAACACTTGTTCTTAAGTGGGGTGTTTCCATCACATCCTTCCTATCAGGGCTCAGGAAATCCTGGAGGAAAAGAGGAGGAAAGATTGTAAGAGCCAGAGGAGATGGAAGACATCAAAGAAAAACCAGGCTTTCCAAACACAGCAGGAGTGATGCACAGAGAGGCTCACAGGGACCATGGCAGCATGCACAGGGTCTGCACAAGTCTAACCCGGATGGGTTCCAGTGCTGAGAGGGGAAGTGGACACCAGCTCCCATCTGTAACCCAAAAGCTATCTCTAACTGATATTTGATGTGGGGTTCCCCTCTGTATGCTGTGAATAGCATTGCTTAATAAAGAAACTGGCTTGGCCTGATAAGGTAGAACAGAGCTAGGCAGGGAAAACTAAACTGAATGCTGGGACAAAGAAGGGCGGAGTCAAGGAGAAGCCATGGAGCCACCTCTGGAGACTGACATGCTGAAACATTGCCAGTAGGTCAAGAGCCTTGTTATAAAATATAAAATAATGGAAATGGGTTAAATTAAGATGTAAAAGCTAGCCAATAAGAAGTTAGAGCAAATAGGCCAAGCAGTGATTTAATTAATATAGTTTCTATGTGGTTATTTTGGGTCTGAGCTTCCCAGTGGTCAGGAAACAGATATCCTCTTGCAAAGGTAAAATTGTTTTTATCCAGCAGATTCTCACTGGGTGTACAAGCCATACACATGGGCAGGCTCAATGCCCAGCAGTAGGTGGCCAGTACAAAACAAACTCAGTGGTATTTTTTTTAAGCTTTATTTTTTTCTGAATCTCAGAATACTTTGTCTGGACTTTTAATTTTACCTTACAGGTCTTTTGCTGATATATTAAGGTTCCCAGGTTAGTGTTTTTATGGGATTTCTCTGTGTGCGAACGTGTGTGATTCTATGTCTTATGTATGCTCCTTGTGATTTTTCTCTGGCTCTTTTTTTTCCTGATTTTTTTGTCCTATTATGGTTTATTTGTTTGTTTTATTATTGTATTATTACTTATTTTTATATTATTATTATATTTTAGATGACTGTGTTTTCTAATGAGAGAGCAAACCTGGTATGCATTTGGGTGGGTTGGAAAGTGGGGATGATCCAGGAGGGAAAGTGGAGGGAAAGCTAGAATCAGAATGTGTTGTATGTAAATCTATCTTCACTAAAAGAAAAATAGAAAAAATACGGAGGAAAAGCAGAATGCTATGTGAAGTTGGGGCACACAGGGATTCAAGTCATGTGATGACAGAGAGTAAGGTGTAGCTGCTGCCCAAGAAATGCAAAAGTTGTTCCTAGCTCGAGGAACCAGTGAGGAGCCAGTGAGGAGCCAGGGAGAGCTCTTCCCTGGACTCTTCAGAGGAAGCATGTGCCTCGATTCTGGAGCTGCGAAAGAATGCTTTCCTCCTCATTCATACCAGTGGGGGATGCTGAGGGTGGCAGCCCTGGGAGATCTCTGCGGCTGGTGGTATGTTTGTTAAAATTAATGGACCAGAATTGGTGTGTGCTTCTCACTAAGGTTCATACTCCATCCAGCGTTCCCTGGCTTTACAAACCACGCCTGTGTCCCAGGAGTCTATCTGGGCACAACACTTTTAATTGCCCCGTTTCTTTATTTTCTTTTAAACTGTGACGCTATCCCAGATTTTCCTCATTTCAGTGAAGATTTTGGGATTTCTCTTCCAGCATTCTGTAAACAGCCTCTCAGCTGGGAGTGACTGATGTTTTGAGTTGATGGGTTTGTGAGACTCCAGAAGAAAGGCTGCTGAGAGAGTCTTCTAACAGGCAAGGCCTGTGCTGTCAGCATGACTTCTCGGCATGGTGCCGACCTTGGTCACAAATGTCTTCCTTGAAAAGTTTTACCTGCCTGTGCTGTGCTTTTTCTTTAAAGGAAATTAAAACGTAGACAACTTTGCCCTACCTCCTTGAGGTTAGCGTACTTACAAAAATTAGCTAAAATTCTTCTGTGTAGAAAAACGCGTCTATTATTCATTCATTTGCTGAAATCAGCGTTACTGATAGATATTTATATTACCCTTTGTGTTATAATCCAGTGCAACTCCATTCCTCCTACTCCCACTGCTGAAATGGTTTGAGCCTTGGCTGCTGGCAGCTCCTTTATTTGGCCCCCTGGACCTCTTTCAATGCATCTCACCATTATAAGTTTTAGGGCTGTCCTTTAATTTTTGGTACTAGAAGATGTTCTAGAATTTTATTTTTTTCCCCTTAAAGACAGTTTCCTAATTCCATACAGTACAAAATGTCCCAGACTCATATTTCCTGATTTCTTTGTGTGATGCATCCTGATCCCATTTATGTGATTAAACCAAGGTCTAAATAAGATGTATGCTTGCTACTCTTGAGGCATTGTTGCTTCTAGGCCTTGCCAACAGACACAGGAAGAATGTATGTGTCTCCAGCGGAGCAGTAGCACACATGAACTCACAAGTCCTGTGCAAGTTTAAGCTAGACAAAATCCCAACATGGAAGGAGGGAGGAGCAGCCCTAGCTGAGGAGCTCTGAGCCTTTGTTAACTGGGAGAAGGAAGTCACTTTTCCTTAATGATGAGACCCCTAGCTGGTTGATCATATTCTAGGGTATACCACTCCCAAGAGTGATAGAGCAATACCAACTGGACTAAGTGAGGACAAAAGGGGAGAAAAGTCAATGTTGGGTAGGTAGTGGAGTAGGGGCAGAAAGGATAGATGGAGCAGGAGCAGGAATGAATCAAAATACATTTATGGAATTCATAAAGATTGATAAAAATGTTATTTGTAAAAATATGTGTCTGTAAATGTAGCTGTATGCAAGCACCTATATTGAACTAAATGTGAGTTCATAACCCACTGTGTTATAAAACACATTCTAGTTCCCCCTTGCTTATCTTTAAACTCTCACTCCATCAGTGGCAAACTGGCTCCCAGCAGCCTCCACTGCTGCATTTAGTATCCAGGAAGTCCAGTATCCACGGATGGAAGTGTCGGAATTCCTAGTCCATATTCCCGTGGGTCTTCAGCAGCTAAAGCACAATGCCGTTGTGACGGTTTCTTCTTTAGTCACTGAGCTCAGTATCCCGCCTGCCTGTGCGAGGTTGCTCCACATGTTGATGATACAGTGAGAATGTTTCGCTATGTTTCACATTCCAGCCTGGATTTCTCTTTACTCCCTTTAAGCTTTGGTTCTTCAAAGCTCAGTAAGTTTTAGCAACTGCATGATGTCATGGAACCACAATTCTGGTAGCATCCGCCGTAATTTTCCCTCTCTAAAACAAATCCTCTTTTAGTTTATGACTTAATACTTCACTCTATGTCTTTATGATCCTAAGTAATACCCTTGTGTGTTTGTGGTTTCTAGTTTATTTATATAAATAACACTTCTGTGTGATTTTTTTCTGAAAGGATTAATTGAAATACAGTGTAAGTCTCATCTGCATCTTATGATTGTTGTGTCTAAATGGCTTTATAAATGTTATATATAATGTTTATAATGTTATCTGCTTTTCTCCTAAGGTACAATTAAATTGGGCTTTATTTCTCCATTTAATACGCTCTGTGAATGACCTATACATCTCTCCCCATATGCATACATACATATATGTGTGTGTATGTATATGTATGTATATATAAGGACTTGTTCAGAACACACAGCAGGAGGCGACTGAAGAGGTGGCATGCCTATCTTCTGTCTCACTGAGACTGGTCAGCTTGCCTGCAGTGGGGTTCACCTCACATTGCCGCATCTCTTAGCCCTGTTGCGGGAGGTCCTTCCACCCCTCCAACCAATAGCTACTGTGATACCAGCCCATTGGGGCATGGTCTCATTCCCTTTAAAAAAGCGGCTACTTCCTCTGCTCTCTCTCTTCACTTCCTGCTCTACCGGAGACTAGACTCCCTTCCTGGTTGTGCAGATGGCTGTTGTCTGGGATGGTGATCTGTAAGTTTTTTCCCCTTTAAATAAATAACACCCTATTAATCATAACTCCAAACTGGTGTGGCATTGTTCGTGACTTACGCCTTCATAGCCCTGCTGGCTTTACTTGTCTTCCTTTAAGCTCACAGTGAACCGAGTCAGATTTCCTTGGTTTTCAGTCTGTGATCAATCAGGCCATTTACTCAACAACTAGAAACAATTTGACAGGAACTTGGGCTTTTAAATTCAGGGGACATTTAGTACTATTTGTCATAATCTTTTATAATACTTTTAAAGGTATCTGCATATCCTGGAGCTTCAAAGATGTTTTGGAATCTTAGTGCACCCAAATTCGCGATTCCAGAATCAACCATGAGGGAAGCATTATATGCGAAATACGAGGTAATGAATGCATTTTCTGGATTGTTATTTTTGCCATTATTTAATAATAAACTTCTATAAATTGCTTCTGACATAAAATTTACTGGACAGTTATTATATAATTTGTCAAGCAATTATTGTCAAGGTCAGGATTGGTTGGATGACACTTTAGAGATGATTTAAATATATAAATAATGGTCACACTTATCATTACACATGTATGGGAATGCATCCTTATATTTTATCAAATTTTGGTATACATATCTAAGCTTTAACTATGATCAATGTCCTTCTTTAAATTAAGCACTGACTGCAGCTAGGCAAGAATAATCTATTTTCTTTTTGGGAGAGTATTTTATTTGAGACTTTCAGTTACAAAGTCATGCAGGTTATGTAGAGAATCCTCATGGTATTTTCATTTACTTTTTGGTACATGAAGACAATGGACACTTATCATGAAATTTTAGGTAATATTTAAGAATTCCTATTAAATTTGTTGGCCGTATTAATCTGGTAATCGTATTATTGATATCTGCCTCACAATTAAGACTTTATAGTTCTCCTGGAAAACCAGATGGAACGTCTTTCACACTTTGGTGGAGGAGCAAACTTTATTTCAAACCAATCTATGAGGGTAGCCAGGAAGAGAGTGCATGGCCCTATGTCCTGTTGGCCCAGGCTCATGTGGGAATCTCCCCAAAGTCCAATTTATCAACAGGCACCTGCTGCATTTTCTCCTCAGGCTGAATCTAAGATGCTATCTGTCAGATGTCCCTGGTGTCTCAGGTTTCCAAGCATGTCCTCGTTTAATGGAATAAGATAGTTAATTCTTCTTTGAAGCTCTAGTAGGATTCTGAACTAAATCCATCTGTCTGTGAAACTTTGTTAGTTGAGCAATTTTAAGTCACTGCTTTATCTTAAAATAGTATTTATTGGGTGTGCCAGGGCCATTGTATACATGCAGTTATATGACTACATGCTCGAGACCTAAGCAAGATCAAATCGGTCAAAATACCAGCATGGATAGAGGGAGGGCTCCTGAAGCCCCACCCTCCCTGAGGAATTATAGGTTATAGTTATAAAAGTGAGAGTCAGTTTTCTTTAGAAATGTTTTACCAAAAAGGCTACCTACATAAATGCTCCAGTAGAGGGACCTTCACCTATGTCCAGCACTAAGTGGATTCAGTGGCTTTAAAATTAAATTAGGAAAGGAAAGTGTGCCGTGGGGGTAACGAGTAACAGAGTGAGGGATTGAGAAGTATATTTGGTTAAAACCCATCTATATATGCATGTATGAACTTCTCAAGCAATAAAATTTTAAAAACATTAAATAACAGAATAAATGAAATAAAAGAGAAGGAAGTCTTGGGCAGCAGTTCTGCATACCCCCAGGGCAGGAAGAAAGGGGTTAATACGCCGAGCCAGTCAAAGGTGGCCTGTTGCCAACAGGAATGTACCTGGGCTTTCTGAAAAACTATTAGCGTGTTTAAATGTCAGGTAGGGAACAGTGCAGGTGTCAGTGGCCAGCATGACAGGCTCTACTGACTGCTTTAACAGCTTTGTTTTTCCTATAAGGTTTGGGATGTGTGGGTCTTGGATTTGAATCTTTTTGCTTCCTAGGTAACTCTATCTATGCCCCTAAAACACATTTTTTTTATATTAAGCAAGTTTTGAAGATTTAATGAGGCATTAAACTGTGTGTACACTGTTAGGAACCTAATTTTGAGAAATATTTTGACAGCTTCTGAGACTTTAGTATATGTGCTATTTTTTTATAGTAAACAACCATTGATTTTTAATTTGTTCCTCTGTTTTGACATAAAAGATGGTGTAGAAGCTTTTGCCTTCGTTTTGTTAAAAAGTGTCCCTTTAAATACTTGAAATTCCAGTTACTTGAATGTCTTATGTGAGCATAGGACAAATAGTTGCAAAAGTTCTGTTTCATATCAGGTAATCTTTGAAGAATAGCAGTCTCTGGGTGTCTTTAGCCATGGCTAGTAAATTTTTGCCTTCTATTGTGCTACAGTTCTTTTTTTTTTTTTTTTTGAAAAATATACTGTCCTGGCTAGTTTAGTATCAACTTGACACAAGCTGAAGTCATCTGAGAGAAAGGAATTTCAATTGAGAAAATGCTTCCAAAAGTTCCAGCTAAAGGCAGGCAAGTCTGTAGGGTATTTTCTTAATTAGTGATCGAGTCAGGAGGGCCCAGTCCAGCACATCGTGGTGGTGCCACACCTGGGCTGGTTGTCCTGGGTTCTATAAGAAAGCTGGTTGAGTAAACTGTGGGGAGAAAACCAGTAAGCAGCACCCCTTCATGGCTCTGAATCAGCACCTGCCTCCAGGTTCCTGCCCTGCTTCAGTTCCTGCCTTTGATGATGAACAGAGATGTGTAAGTGTAAGTGAAATAAACACTCTCCTCCCTACATTAATTTTGATTAGGATGTTTCATCATGACAATAGAAACCCAGACACAGATTTTCACCCTTCCCAATGCTGGGACTTTTTAATACAGGTCCTTATGTTGTGTTGACCCCCAGCTCTAATGGTATATTATTTGTGTTTTAATAAATAAAGCTTGCTTGGAGATCACGGGGCAAAGCAGTCACACTAATCAGCCCCACAGGCCAGGGAGTGATGTCACACACCTTTAATCCTAGAACTCTGGAGACAGAGGCAGATAGATCTCTGTGAGTTCAAGGCCATCCTGGGCTATACAAGATTGATCCAGAAAGAGATCCCAGTGGTGGTGGTTCTCACCTTTAATCCCATAGTTTGAGAGTTACATACTTTTAATCCCATTACTAGGGAGGTGGAGACAGAAGAGATATGGCTGGGCAGAGAGAGGAACTCAGTTGGGTATGGAGTCTGAAGATTTATAAAGAGAGGGCCTTGTCCTTTCAGTTAGAAATTTTTGGTAGAAGTAAAAGGTCTCTCTAGTGGTTGACTGATGTGGGATTCCCCTCTGAATGCTGTGAATATGTTTTATTGACATTTGTTAATAAGGAAGCTGCTTTCTGCCAATGACTTAATAGAGTAAAACCAGGCAGGAAATCTGAACAGAGATGTAGCGAGAGAGAGTAGGCGGAGTCAAAGAGATGTTATGTAGCTGCTGAAGGAGACAAATGCTGATGTACTTTACCCAGTACAAGGCATAAGAGAGCTTCAAATTTCCTACTTCATGAAAAAGTCTGCCAGATACTATAGGCCTGTAGGCTTAAGATGGATGCTCCAATGTTACAGAAAAACTTGGGGTGACTGCCCAGGCAGCTAGATGTCTCTGTCAATTTTAGAGCTTTGGAAGTTACTTACAATGCACTCCCTGCTTACCTAGGCAATATTATATCCTTCTGGAGTCTTTTATGGAGTTGACAAAAGATAATTATAACTATAAAAGATAGATTAGATATAAAATTTTAGACTCACAAGGATAGAATCAATGACAGAGTATTTTTCTTAATTTGCCAAATGTAAGTGGACTAAACATTGAAACTATAATTCTTGCTTGATAACTGTTTTGTTATATATAATCTTGCTATGTTAAAACCTTCCTTTTTAATTAGACAAAAAAGGGAAGGTGATGTGGGATTCCTTTCTGTATGTTGTGAATATGTTTTATTGGCATTGGTTAATAAAGAAGCTGCTTTCGGCCAATGACTTAACAGACTTGGAAAAGATATAGAGAGAGAGTAGGCAGAGTCAAGGAAATGCCATGTAGCTGCCAAAGGAGACAGATGCCAGAACTTTACTTGGTAAACCACAGCCTTGTGGCAAAACACAGAATGATAAAAATGGGTTGTTTAAGATAGAAGAGTAGTGAGCAATACACTTAAGTGACTGGCCAAACAGTGTTGTAATTAATGTAGTTTCTGTGTGATGATTTCGGGTCTGGGTGGCTGGAAATGAACGAGCAGCCCCTGCCTACAGTTGTCTGCTTTGCTTTTCTGATCTTCAGCTTGAAACCCAATATCTGTCTTTGGGTTTTTATTAATCATGCTACATTCAGCCATAAAATTATTTTCTTTGCTATTTATAACTGTCATTTTGCTACTGTTACGAATTGTAATGTAAATAATCTGTGTTTTCTAATGATCTTAGGAGACTTCTCTGAAAGGATAGCTCAACCCCCAAAGGGATTGTAACCCACAGGTTGAGAACCACTAAAAGGATGAACAAAATTTAATGCTGATTCCTAAATTGCCTTAGCAATGATAATATCACACTACTTTTAAAAACTGATTTTTAAATTTCAGTATTTTTTAACTATAAAGTTAGCACTTCATCATATAAATAAAGAATAGCAAAATTCAGATAACCATGAGACTGTCAGCTTTTCAAATTTAGGTCTTCCAGTTCTTTCCAAATACCAAAGTCACTGGCTGTAAGATTCATGAGCATATTTTGCATGGCTTTTTCCTCTCATAATAACACACAGGTATTGTAACTTACTTGGGTGATAGAATTCAAACTTTAAGTCATTTAAGGAAATTTATAATCTAGTTTACATTTAGAGTACTTACTTGTGCTTGAGAATGAAGTCATTTGTTAATAGTAAGGCCTAATTACACACCCCGTTAATAATTTCGGTGTTGATTTGTAAGACATCTAGTGCTACTCTACCGGACTGTAACGTCACCAATATTTCCTAAGAATTAAATTACAGAAATCAAGTGCACATTCCCATTTGATCCAAGGCCGGAGCCGTACTGTGGATTTTGCATTAATATGATGCCTCTAGTTGGATTTTCATGCATCTCTGGAAGTGATTCTTTTACTACAGGTCTTTTATTTGTTTTGCTAACAATGTTGATCAGTGAAATAACAGTGAGTATAAGCATTGAAAATATCCCATGACATTATTTAATACATAATTTAACCTTTTATCACAGAGTGCTCAGACAAGCAGAATTTTAACTGAGAAAATTTCTGAAAGCAAGGAAAGTGTGGTTATTTTGGATACATACACCAGAAGAAGTTTTAAGGTATGTATGACTTTGACTCTGAATATCTTCCTTTAGTTCGGGAATTGTTTCTGGAAATCATTTTTTGGTGTTTTATTACTTTGAGTAATATTTCAGACCAGCCACCTGTGTCTGTGCAAACACATTGATTCCCATTGTGGTGTTCTTAGAATGTTCAGAAGATAGTATTCATCAATCAATTGCAGGATATTTGTGTGTTTCTTTCCTAAAATTGCAAGCTTCCCAATTTTTTTTTTTTTTTGCCTAGGACTTAAATGCTAAAGTGTGTGTGTGTGTGTGTGTGCGTGCGTGTGTGTGTGTGTGTGTGTGTGTGTGTGTGTGTGTGTGCGTGTATGCCATGGAATAGGAACAGGCTTGCGAGATTCCACCCATAGCTGAGGAGGAATTACCATTTGATGGCTGCTGTGGGAGGAGCGTCAATTTTCTTCATGGATGTGGGATTTCGAGCGCTATCTGTGTTTCAGTGGATGGCCCTAAGCAGACTCAGCGGATTTAAGGACTAGAGCACATGGAGTTGGAAGGAAAAGCGGTAGATGGCACGGGGAGAATTGTAGGGAAGGGGTGGGGGGTGGACTAGATCAAAACACATTATATGCATGTATAAAATTCTGAAAGATTATCAAAGCAGGAAAGGGTGACGGTCCAGGCACAAGTAAGTGTCTTCTTCAGGTCTGGCTGATGCAGCCTCACGTGTCAGCGCAGCCTCTGAACACTCAGAAATCAGTGTCATTCGTACCAGCAAAGAGGCTCGGCCCCAGAGCGCCTGTGCGTCACGGGTTCTTGATTTCTGTTATCTCAAGCTTAAATTAAGAATTAGCAATTTTCATTTCTATAAAAATGACTAAATGAAGTGACAGGTCTTAGGTCCCTTAAGGAAACAAACTTAATAAGTAAGAAAATATATTTTAATTAGAATTTGTACTTGTGCATTAATTTGTAAGAATTATTATTAAGTAACTGTCATATGACACTTCTCATTTGCTGAACAGTGACTATGGTTAATGTGCTTTTACCTGATTATTTTACAGTCTTTAATAATAAAAAAATCGGCATCATATGAGAATATCCAAAAATATTCCAGTGCTCCGTACACACGATTAAAGGTATTCTAACTTTTTGACTTTTAAATTCTAAAATATGTTTGTATTTCTAGCAGTAAAAATCATGTTATGCTCTTTTCAAAAGTTTGAACAGTTCTACTGTTTCTTACTATTATACCTTGAGTGAATTGCAGTTTCATGAGATAGGGATTATAATAAATAACACAGGGCCACTATCTCTACAGGTGTGCGTGCATTTTAAATACACACGTAGCTTTTGTGGAATTTGGGTGTGCAGACACACACACACACACACACACACACACACACACACACCATCTAGTCCAGGTGGCAAGGTGAAAGGCCCTTAGTCTCAGCCCCAGAAGCGATGTAAATAAATGCTGAGTGTGGTGTGGTGTCTCATGCTTACGATCCAGCACTGGGGAGACAGCCAGGAAATAGGTAGAAAATGATACAGTAAAGAGTTCAACATAAAATTTCTTTTATTAGCGATATTATTATAAAGTTAAAATGATTAATGTTTAGCCATTGCAAGTCACTTATAATTACTATGTTAATATGGTCACACTAAAATTAGGTTTATTATCAGATAATATAAGAAAATGGATATTGTTATTTAAACTTACAAATATTGAATGGAAATTTATTGTAGAGTGTAGGTTAATAGTGGTATATGGGAATACAATGTTGTTAAGGTGTTTTTAAAACAGACTCACAAGTTAATTTTACAAAATAAGGCCTTTTAATAATTTATTATGTTTAATTAATGTAGTATGTTTAATTTACAGTGTTTTTATGAAAACCAACCAAATTATTGAACTTTGCATTAACCCACTGTTAACTTTATAAATTGCCTCTTGAATAAGCTTAAGAACTTTACCAGACCTGTAAAGAACTCAAAATGAAAAGCCTCCAGTTATTCTACAAAATGAAAAGAGAAGGAACTCAACAAAATTTATTTTGAAAGCCATATTTACTCTGATACCAAATCCCAGAAAATGACCACCAGCACTGCCAAAATTAAGTCATTTTCCTTGGTAAACGTAGACACAAAAACTGTCAATGAAATTTAGCCTGCCAGCTGCATTCATTAGCACATCAAGGAGAGGGCTAGTGAGGTGCCTCAGCAGGTAAGGATTTTTGCCACTAAGCCTGATACCTGGAGTTTGATAGAAAGAAGAAACCAACCCTCACAAATTGTCCTCTGGTCATCACACATGCACAAAGAACATAAATAAGTGTGAAGAATTAAAAACCCATCCCTTATGATCAAGTTGGCTCCATTCTAGTTGCAAATGTGTGGTTCAGCATGCACATCAATAAATGTAACACAGTACATAAATAGAATAAAATGTAGAATCACACAATCGTGTCAATAGATAACAGAATAAGCAATCTTGATGCTAAAATCCCCAAAAGAAACTAGAAATAGAAGGAACCACCCTCACTGCGATTATGCTATCTATGAACAAACCTATATCCAACATTACACTGACTAGGGAAAAAAACTGAAAGAATTCTCTCTAAAGTCAAGAATGATACATGTGTGTTCACTCTTTGTACTTTCAATCAATACAATGCTAGAAGTCTTACTTAGCAATAAGAAAAGAGGAAGAAATGAAAGGGTTACAAATGGGGAAAATGACAAATTATCCCCATTCACTGTGCTTCTTTACCTAAAAGACCACAAATGCCCCGTAGACCTGATAAGCACAAAATAGTAGGACACACAGTCAACACACAAAAATTATTGGCTGTTCATACTCACCAATAATTAACATCCTAAGATAGAAACAGGAAGGAGACCAATACCATTTGCTATAGCTACAAAGGGAAATAGAAAGGGTGCGTATGACTAGTGAGAATGTAAATCAGTGTAGCTATGGTGGAAAATCAACAGAGTTTGGCCAGGAAACTAAAAATAGAACTATCAATTATCCAGCTTAATTGCTCCTGTGTATATTCCCAAATGAATCAAAATCAGAATACAATAAGCATATCTGCATACCCATGTTTATTGGAGCTCTGTTCACAAGAGACAAATTATCATCAGTCTGGATGCCATCAGTAGATAAGTGAGTGGATACAGAGTATGTGGAATACAAACAATGAAGTTGTATTCAGCCATAAGAAGGGTGAAATTGTGTCTCTTGAGCGGAAGTGGGTGTAGGCTGGAGATCATCATACACTGTGAAATAAGTCATCTGAAGAAAGATGAATACTGTATTTTCTCTCATGTGGATATCTAGATTTTTAAATGACATGGAAGTAGAAGGGAGACTCTTTGGGAAGAGAAAGGCCATCAGGGTGAAGGGATAAGAAAAGAATGGGGATGAACATGGTCAAAATACTTTACACGCATGCATGAGAATGCCATGATGAAACCTGTTTGTAGTGATAAGGAGCAGCGGGATGCATTCCATCAGGATCCCTGCTCCTCAGCTAGTTTACATCTGAAATAATTACACAGAAACTGTATTCTTTTAAACACTGCCTGGCCCATTAGTTTCAGTCTCTCACTGGCTAATTCTCACATCTGGATTAACCCATTTTTAATAATCTGTGTAGCACCTTCAGGTGGTGGCTTATCAGGAAAGATTCTAGCCTATGTCCTTCTCGGGTCGGAGAATCATGGCGACTGACTGACTCGGCTTTCTTTCTCCCAGCATTCTGTTCTGTCTACTCCACCTGTCTAAATTCTGCCCTATCAAAAAGCCAAGGCAATTTTTTTTATTAACCAATGAAAGTAACAAATAGAAGACCCACCTATATCACCTGTTGCTTTGTACAATTCATAGATACCATTGACAACTGTAAGAGTATATTATTTAATATTTATTCAATAAAGCCAAGCCACATTAATTGCAGTTGTGATTGTATTAACTTTAAGTGTAGAACAACTCAATTGATGATATATATTTCCACCTCTGTTTTCTTATAAAGAGATCAAACTCTACTGTTGAGTTGCAGAAAGAAGGGACCCCATCGCCGTTTATAGTTAAGGACGACATCTACAGCAATCTGAAGCAGCTGCTGTTCCAGAAGAGGAATGAGATGAAGCGCCAGCTTGCCAAGCAGAGGGGGATATTTGATATCCCCATAAAAGGCAGCCTGGAAACCATGAATGAGTCAGACAGCTTGAAATGCCTGTCATTTTCTCTCGTTGAAGCATCAAGAAAAGCTGGCATTACCTACATTGTGTATCCCAGGAAAAAGAAGAAGATATTGAAGAAAGGAACGAAATTCCAGAAGCTTGGCCTTGTGTATGAGCAGCTCTCCAAGCCTCCAAAGAAATTAGAAAGGTTCTGTTCAATTTTTATGGCTTGTGAAGGATATTATAGTTTGGGGACTTAATTTTATGATTTCATTCAGTATTGTTACTGTTAATTCTCGATGGCAAATATGCTAGTTGGAAAGTAAATCTCCCATTTTAAAATATGTCGGCATTTCATAGAATGAATATGTGAATTGCTTAACTTCCTGTTTTAGGACTGAATCCATTTTATGTCTGAAAGTGTCTCTCAGCAGAAAGAAACAAAATAGAGCCATGCGTTTGCTAAAATGGCTTGATGCACAGGTCCGGTCCCTATTCTAAATGAATACCATTCACTCCAAAACCAAAGTAGATGGCTGGTGGTTAACTGTTTTCAAATTTACATTTGTGCTGAATTGTGCAATAAATATAATAAACATTTTGTGCGTTGTGAGCCTTTCTTCAAGGATCGACACACAAATGTAATTATGTTTGATCCTCAATTGGAGGTAATAATAGCTGGCATATTTTCAAAATGTGGAGAACCTGAAGTGGAAGCAACGCCAGCTCCTGGTATGTTTACTGTGGAAGACACAGATGCTTCTTATAAGCCATGCATCTGACAGACGTTTCCAAAAAAAGCCCAGGAATCATTTTCTCTTTAGACATTCCTGGGTAATAATCTGTTAAACTCACACCCACTTGGAAAGTAAAAACTTTGGGGGCGATAAGGGAGTAGAAATGTTTCGTTTATTTTGTTGTTATTAAGACGCACTGGCTCTTTGGTGTGGTTGGTGACTTATACTGGGACTCTGGAACTTAAAACTTTGTGAGTGCCAGCAGGGACAGTAGTGCGGGGGTGCTACTCAGATCTGAGGTCTCCTGTGTGCTGATCTCCACTGCTCCAGTGGAGAAGGAAGATTTTCAGGAGGTTTCATATAGATTTTTTTTTCTGAGCTGAAAAAAATCCCTTAAAGAAGAACCAGACATTTGAAGTGTTTTTTTTTTTTATATATACACTTGCTGATTTCAAAGTATGAACCTTTGTCATCATAGTAAAAGACAGGGCCACATAATTTTGACTGGTCCCAGGTGACCTCTATCTAAAGAAAGGGTATAATAGCAGATTAAACACTTTCTGGGAGTTTTCGCAATGCTTAAAGACATTTTGTCATTTCAAATTAAGTTTCACCATTTTAAAAATTCATCTTAAAAATATAAAAGTTTATTATAAAAAGGTTGCAAATAAAAAAAAATCACACACTGAAATTAACCAGGTCTAAAGACTGTACAGTGGTCTTCTATATAGTTAAAGTAGACATTGAGAACAGAAGCTGTGGGGCTTCACGTTGGTGTTTATCTCTTTCCTCCCAAGTGTATTTCTGTGCACTTATCCACTTCCCAAACAAGTAATCCATGGCATACTTAAAACCAGAAAGTCAATTTTCTTTATGTCCTTTCTTATAACCGTGTCCATTGCCTGCATCCAGCCTTTCCTCATTCTCTAATATTTAGCCTTTCTTGTTTTTTCTACACGTTGTACTTGTGTATTTGTACATTTTTTATATATTTGCATATATATATATATATGAATACTGTTGAGCTTTAAAGAAAAACAAAAATCACAAAATATGTAGGAAAATGGGTAGATTCAGAATGTATATATAATATTACGTGAGGTCACACAATCTAAGGAAGCAAAACACGCATGCATGTTCTCTCTCATATGTGGAATCTAGACAACTTTCACCATTTAGAGGAATATATTTGTCTCTCTTAATAACCCGGCTTAGAATTTGCGTTTGCTGTGACCCTCACAGCAGGGCATGCAGGAGGAGCACAGCTCTGTGCACCAGCAGCAAAACAACTGTTTGTATCCTGGTCGGTGCATCAGTACTTTCTATTTCAGTGGAGATAGGAAGTAATAGTTAGCCCAGAGCGAGTTAGGGAGCAGTTTCTATAGTTAGGACATCTCCCATTGATTTTGGTGACTAAGAAATGCCATTCTTACCATTTTACATCTAGCTTTGCTCTTGGTGAATGACAGCCATTCTTGGCCAACCCCTTAGAGATGCGAAGTAGGTCGGTCACATGGGCTTTCACAGGTGAAGTCAAATCTTGACTCCAGAAAGCTGTTCCTGCAGAAGGTCATTTGGACTAAAGTCCCAGACTCGCGCGTTTCCTTTCAGTCCCCTTGAGACAGGCTGCCCCTGCCACTCTCCTCATTAGCTTGGTTTTGGCAGAAAGCCACATACCTGCAATAGCAGCAAGGCTTCACTGTTCCTTTAAATCTTATCTTCGGCTCTGAGCCCTGAGTCATGAGACAGGCCAGTGAGGGACTAGAAGGAACTTTTGGTAGATGATGTCTTTGCTCGTCTGGCATGCTTCAGCTTTTCCTTGTTCTGTTTCTCTAAGAACTGGAGACAGTTCAGCTCCAGGAACAAGGATGTGTCAGCCGTCTCCGCATCTGAATTCTAGCTGCCCTGCATTCGCCCCTTGGTGACCAGGCCACGCCACGTTATTTCTTAGGCCGTTTCCTTGTCTGAAAGATGAGCTTCTCTGCTGAAGTTACTTCCAGCTCAAAAGTCTCACATGTCAGACAGTAAAACCAGCTTTATCCTTATACAAATGGAATACCTTGAGCAACACATTTAAGCTGTTGAAAACTTCCCTGTCTCCTCCAACAGGGTCACATCTCATCTCAAACTAATTATGTGAACCTATATTCTACCTCGAGAGCATGGACTGTCTACATCGCAGATGAAGCAACAGGTCAATTTATTGTGTTGCTCCTTCAAGGGAGAAGCCGTGAACATATAGTTATGTTTAAAAGTAACTTGGCTATGAAAACGTGGATCTACACTTTATGACCATGTTTTTCCTTTTTCTTCCCTTTTAATTTGGGCTATTTAATTTCAATGATCCGAGACTATAGCTTTTCCTTGTAAAAGTTCACCCATTATCTGTGTTTGCTTTTTACATTCCTCTGGAACTTGCTGAGCAGGTTCTGGTTGCTTGCTCCCTTTAAGATATTACCATTATTTTATCAGCTCAGAAGATAATGCGTGCTCATTGTAAAAAAATTTAGAAAATATTGCAGTTCCCTCATTAAATCACCACCGACACAGTTTTGAATGTGTACATGGAAACACAGTCATACAAACCTGTGGGAAGAGATTTGCCTTTATGCCTATGCACGTATGTTAAGTGTCTGCTTGCATATTGTATAGAGAATATGGATTATATCCACCAGCCTCTGGCATCGATTGTTTCTGTGGTGCAGGTAGTTGGTGGGGATGGGTTGAGAAGAGACTTTACTGAGAGTTACTTTATGCTTTCTACATTGTTTGAGATTTTTCTACTGGACATATAGTTATGTTTAAAAGTAACTTTTTGATTTTAGTTTGTAAAAGTTTTTTTTTTTTGGAGGGGGGAACCAGTGGAAGCTGGGTATTCTCAAAATATATCTGCATCCACCGTGAATATCTGCAGAGCAGATCAATGGACTAGTCAGATTAAAATGTAACCTGTGCTCTTTCCCAGATTTACAGAGCTAAATGAAATATACATTCATTTTAGTATTTATTTTGGAATTGGATCTTAGAAGCGATGGTCCCCTGTGCTTTAGAGCTGGAAAGTACTGCCGACGGAGCAAGAAGCAAGGAGATAGTGAAGGAAATTTCCACTTTAGTTCAGCAGACTTCAGAGTAAATTTTTCGAGCACCTTCTGTATACCAGATTCTAGTCTAGATAGGAAACTACAGATGAGGACAGTGGAGAGTGCTAGCCAGTCCCCTGTCGTAGCATTTATATCCTAGTGGGAAAGTGACAGCAGAGAGATTGACTCATGATGTTAAGGAAGTGATAACAATTATGGCAAGAATAAGGCAGGGCAGTGGGAGCCGCTGTTTTAGACAGATTGCTAGATGCCTCTATGACTTAGAACTGAACAGTATGGAGGAATGAGGTATTTAGATCTCTGAAGAAAAGGTAAACGCTTGTGTAATAGCCCCAAGTTGCAGGATATGCCTATTGCTTGTGGACAGCACCCAGACTGGTGTCTGGAACACAAGGGATTGCTAAGAAAGTGAGGTCAAGGAAGTGTTTGGGGGATAATACCAGGTATTGTCCTATTGGCCAGAGGTCGAGGCTCTGGAGATGGCTTAGTGGGTAAGAATTCTTATACAAGCATAGGAATGTGAGTTCAAATTCCCAGTACCCACATAAAAATGATTGGCATGGGTGCATGTGCCTGTAACCCCATCATTGAGGGTAGGGAAAGGCAGAGACAGGTGGGTTCCAGCATCTCACTAGCTAGCTAGCATAGCTGAAATAGAGCTTCAGGTACAGTGGCATACTGTGACTCAAGAAGAAAGTGGAGAGTAATAGTGGGTAACACCCGACCTCCTCCTCTGGCTTCTATATTCGCAGCCACACAAACTTGTGCACATACATGCATACACCATACACATATACAGAAATTAAAAAAGGAAAGTGTGTGTTTGTAAGCCATTATGAACGCAAGAAGAGGATAGAGATGTTTGCAGGCTGTGATAAATATAAATACAAAAGGAGACCCGGAGAGTGGAGAACATGTTGAAATGATCAAATATTTCTTCCAGAAGACTCACCGTGGTAGTGGTAGGAATTAAGAAATTGTGGTGGAAGCTGAGAGACACCCACAAGAAAGCAATTGAATGATCTATGTGAGAAATGGCAGCTGGGTCTGAAGTCATAGCAATGCAGGTGGTAAAAAAGTGGCCACATTCTAGACAGATGTTGGGAGTACAGCCAACAATGTTTGCGCATGGGTTGTTTGTAAGATATGAGAAAAAATCAACTAAGGATACTCCCAAAGATTTTTACTGGAGCGATTGAAAACGTTGAAAGGTTTTCCTAGATGGTCAAGAGTGCAAGGAGCAGGTGGGCATGGCGAGCGTCAGACAATGGTCTAATAGGAATGCTTATCAGTTTAGCTCTTCAGATCACAGTGACACTGCGGGACAGGTAAGGTGGTGGGTCAGTCAGGAAAGGTGGATACTTCGGACCCTGGTATGCAGACGGAAGCTTCCCTTGACACACCAGGTCACAGCCACGGAAAAAGAAAGCCAGACCAATAGCTGTACATCAGGTGCCAGAAAGTGGGAACATTGCTCTCATAAATGTAGTTACCACATCTAGACCTAGGGTGGCCAACACCTGCTAATCAACACCTGCTTAAATTTACACTCACGATAAGTTGTGGCAACTTTTCTTCCAGACATTCGGCTTTAGCACTGGCCAGACAGGAAATGGAGATGTGGAGTGGTCACCAGTGTTTGTCTTTGAAATTGCTGATAGCGCCATCACCATGATTGTGTGACTTTTCTTCGGGGATCTGGTGGCTTTCATTGTGCGTTATCTTCCTGCAGGGTGGTGTGGGGTGGGCTGGGCCCCTCCAGAGACTTCTGCTTGGTCTTTATTACCATTATGTCCTTGTCTACACTGAGTTCTTTCTGAGTTACTCACTGCTGCGGTGTTCCAGGATGAGAAATTGACTACAGGGTGGAGCCTCCATAGGTCCATTTTTAGACAGTCTAAGTCCAATAATAGACTTCCTATTAGTTTATTAATTAATTCATTACTTTTATTGATAGACTCAGTGACATTTGGAACTGAAATGTCTAGAGTTAGCATCTCCTGACCTCCAGAAGGTGCAAGTATTTGTGTTTGGAATCTTTTGGGGGGAGATTCACAGATGCATGTGTCACATGGTGGGGTCCTCTCCTTGGGATCATGGCAAGCGAAGTTTTAGGCTGTGGACTCTTTTGGTCCTGAGATCTTGGCAAGAAAACATGAACCTCAAACATATAGCTATTTAGTTTTATGCTCAACAGACCCATAAGTTTCTTGCTTATCTAAGACAAACAATACCTTAGCAGGCTGCCCATCTGTCTTATCACTGAGAAACAGTGGCCATTTAGTTATTGCCACAAGTCCTTGCAAAGTAAAATTCTCTTATTACCTTTCTGTTCCTGTGGTTAATTGTTGTAATTGTGTCTTTGGCTTCTGCGATGGCAAGGCGGTTTTAGAAGGGGTTTACCATTCTACAATTCTATTAGTCCCACTGTGACCATCGAACCAGATCAGTTCCTTCCTGGTCCTCCACTCACTCACGTCCGTGTCAGCATATATAGTGTTTATCCGTGTGCCACCACCTCTGCATTTTCTGTCTTCCCTCCAGGAGTCAGAGCTTGATTATTGATGCCACATTTTACAGATCAATTCTCAGTCTCCCAAAGCTTAGAGCTCACCTTTCTATGGCAGTAGTTCTTAGAGTGTGGTCTTTGAATCAGTGTGTTTTATGTGGAATCTGGCGATGATGTAAAAACCCTAGGCCTCCACCCTCTGCTCGCCGAATTAGAGATTGTGAAGGCCCCAAATCTGCATTTTAACAAGCCTCCTAAGCAGTTCTGATGCATGGTAACTTCTAAGATCATTTGCTAGGCATTGCGAGGGTAGGGTAACCTAGGGCAAACTAACTAGGACCAGCAACCACTAATCTCAGCGCACATCGTAGAGGATGGATTTGAGAGGGTGAAGAACTGGCAATTATGGCTCTCCAAGAGTGTTCAGATCTCACAGCTGAGAGATTTTGGGGAATACACACATTGTGTAATTTAATGTAGGTATAAAGCTATTGTGTAGGGGGAGATGGCATCTCACAGATGAATGATATGACTTCTCTTAGTCAGTTTCTCCTGTTAGGGAAGATAAGTGGAATTTGGGGGAAAATCACCTTTTTCCATGTCTGATTGTATCCTGTCCATAGCCTCACTCAGCCCTCATCAGAGAAGCTTCCTCCTGCAGTAGATGAAAACTAACACGGAGACCTGTAACAGGACCGTGTGCAGAGAGTGTGAGACTTTGGAGCATTTAGTCCTAAAGTAGATGAATTTACCAAACCCTTACTCCTTCAAGACTCAGAGATCTCTGTGGGAGAGGAGGCAGAAAAATCGTAAGAATCAGAGGTGATGGATGACTACAAGGAAATACTTTCAGACACAGCAGGACTGAACAGGACTAATGCACATATGAACACATATGAACACATATGAACACATATGGAGACGATGATAGCACATACAAGACCGGCATGGGTTTAGGGAAGATGGGGACCCAGCGCAGAGAACAGGAAGTGGACACAAAGCCCCACCCTTAACCAGGAAGTTGTTTACAATTGATAACTTCTGGAAAAGGGAAAAAATCAGTTTTCTTCAGTGGAGTGTCACTGGGTATAACAACTACATCACAGGGTGGGCCCCATGCCCAGGAGTAGTTGGGCAAGACAGAAAGAACTCGGTGATACTTCTGTGGACTTCTTACTTCAGTTTGCTTTGTGTTGGCACTTTTTATCTTACAGAAGTTTTGTTTTAATTCTTTTTTTTTGTTTGTTTGTTTGTTTGGTTGGTTGGTTTTTTTTGGTTTTTCGAGACAGGGTTTCTTTGTGGCTTTGGAGCCTGTCCTGGAACTAGCTCTGTAGACCAGGCTGGTCTCGAACTCACAGAGATCCGCCTGCCTCTGCCTCTCGAGTGTCTTGTTTTGTTTTTGTTTCTCTTTGTTGGAAGAGAGACAGAGAGACAAAGAGAATAAACGTATTGTGTGGTTAGGATCAATTTATTTTCTACCATAAGTTTGAGAAGATAAACAGAGTAATTATTAAAACCTGGGAGAAAGTAGTTGGGGTATGAAAGGTTTCTTTGAAGTTCTGATCTTTTGGGGCAAGTGTTATTATATCTAGCTAGAGGTAACCCACCTTGTAGGGCCCTGGAGCATAGAAAGCTTGACTTCAGATGCTTGTGCCTCTCTCTTGAGGTTTCTGATAAAGCAGAGAACAAGGGGTCTTGTGGATGTAGTTTGTAGAAGTTAGTTTCCCAGGCTAGGGAACATGGTGAGGAAGGAGTGGAACACAGAAGCACAAACAAAACACCTGGCACAGAAAGCCTTTCTCAGGAGGGTACTAGATTAGAGATGTGAAGCCAAGGAGATACGGCTGAAGAGCAGAGAGAGGAAGAGACAGTGGTATCTCAGCGGCCTGGGCTGAAGTGTCTCATGTCCCATCTTGAAGACAGATTGCTCAGTCTGATTTCTTTCTTTCTTTCTTTCTTTCTTTCTTTCTTTCTTTCTTTCTTTCTTTCTTTCTCTCCCTCTCTCTCTTTCTCTCTCTCTCTCTCGCGCGCGCTCTCTCTTTCTTTCTTTGTTTCTTTCTTTGTTTCTTTCTTTCTTTCTTTCTTTCTTTCTTTCTTTCTTTCTTTCTTTCTTTCTGATTTCTGCCTCCTCCCCGCCACTGATTCTAACAGAACCCAGGACCATCAGCAGAGGGGTAACATCAACTGTAATTGGTTGGGTTAATTAATTGCTAGTTAAAAACATTCCCTACAGTCTTGCTTACAGCCAGGTCTCTCTCTTGGAGGCACTTTCTCAACTGAGGCTCCCTACTCTAAGATGGGTTAACTTGTGTCAGATGACACAATGCTATCCAGCCCACTGCCCTCGTGTCATAACAGATGAGAATGGCTTGCATGAGAATGTGGCGTGGAGATTATAAGAAGAGAATAAAAGAATGGGAGCATTTTCTTACCTTTATTCCCCTATTTTGGCACCATGACTTTCTTACACTATAAATTCAGTAAATAAAACACAATGGGGCTAAAACATTTTCCAAACTAGCTAGTAGACTGTGTTTATCCTGTCTCCTTTAGCTACCGTACGGTCACAATACAACCAATGCTACTGAATGCTTTTTCCAAACTTGCAGTAGACTGTCTTTATTCTGTCTCTGCTGGCTACCATATGGCTGCAATACAGTCCATGCTTCTGAATGAAAGCCCTGTTTTCAGTGGAGAAGTTGAGGAGGAATATCGCTGCATCATTTGATAGTATCTAAGTGATCAAGTTAAACCTCAGCCTTTGGAAGAAGCATTTCCTTTATCCCTTCCAGCTCACCTCCTAAATTCTCCACTGCGGTCATCCTGGGAGAAGATGAGGTTGTGAATCAGATCAGAAAGGGGAACTGCTCTCACTATCCCAGCAGTCTAGAGAGGCTGCCACATCAAAAATGTATTTCCATTTTTACAGAGATTCTTCATATTGTGCTGCAGTCTTACTGATTGAAAAAGTGAAGTTTGATTACATAAATTAGCAAGTTTTGATAATAGAAAAATAATAATTTCTTGTGTGTGGTTGAGTTGAATCATAGATAGAAAGATAATTGTGTTTCTGTAATTAAAAATTAATCATTCTCTTTGACACTAGATCGGCATCTCATGGAGTACTTCCTGTGCAGAAAAAGTTTTCCCTTAAAGTTCCATTATACGAACGTCAAATAAGGTCTCCCAGTGTACCTGTGGTTTTAAATTTTGATCAATTTGTTCAAAGTAAAGGAGGAATACCAGAAAATACTGATCCTCGGACATGGGCTATCGAGATCTTCGCTAAAGACAAACCTCAGAAAACACCTGCACCAGTTACGTCTTTTCAGAAAGAAGTTCCCGAGCCAGTGATAGAACTCCCCAAGTTGGAATTATCTGATCATATCAAGTGTGACCTTCCCCCAGATGTCGTTAAATATTATGAATCGGAAGTGGAGCGGTTGACTCAAGAGATAAAAAATGAGAAAAGAATTCCCGTGTTTGCCTATTGTCGGCGTGGAGCTATATACAGAAAACTGGGAAAGTTGCAAAGCGCCATGAATGACCTACAAGAAGTAAGTTTGAAAGAATAAAAACAACACAGCTCACCATTTCCATTCCCTTTCTTTATACAGTCATTTCTGTTGAGGTGTTGAATGACAAATGATTTGTAGTACAATTTATGGGATTGTGAAATACAAATATTGGCATTTTCAAATGTTCATTAAAAGCACTAGACTTCTGGTTTTTGAATTGGGAGGTTTTATCTTATGTTGTATGCATGTAAAGCCACTGGTATTAATGATGTTTGAGAAACTCATTTAATAGTGTTATTTTTTTTCCCTTTGGAAAATCAATGTATCTGACTTTGTTTATACATGTGTTTTTCAGACCATATTTTTGGAGCCATTGTTTCTCAATGCCTATTGGCACCGACATTTCATTTATCTTTTCCAAGACAAAATCAATGATGCTTTGGATGACTTGAATTTTATACACAGATGTAATAAAAACCATGCAGGTGGGTTATATATGGAGACAGCTACAGTACCTGTCTCTTTCTCTTGGCTTTTGTCGTGATTATAAATACAAACAAACTGATAGGTAGAAGTTCTGTAAATTGGTATGACGGCTTCAGTTTTAGAGTTCATATAACCCTTGCGTTGTTTTCAAATGACTCATTATGCCTGAGTTTATTCCCTGGAGATCCGTTTCAGCACAATCCCTTTCACGGGTCTCACATGGACAATACGAACTCAAAATTGGGAGGTGATTTCACGTTTCAGAATGAGAACATAATACTGTGAAAGCCTCGTAGTGGGTGAAATCCATACCTCGCTCATATGCGCTGTTTTCTAACGGCCCGAACTTCTAGACACAGACTTTTCTAGAAATGTGGAATTGTCATGTGCATCTTTGAATCCCCAGCACTTCCAGAACCACACGACAAAACACAAGATGGCTGCATGTGTGTTTTGATCTGTGTTGGCATATGTGCTAAAAGTCATTCAAACCTAGCTTTTTACTGCAGTTGCTAAGACTGAAACATTTTACTCAGTTACACAGGTGAGTGGTAATGTTGCCACATCAGAGCAAGACTACTTGAAACTACAAATGAGTATTCAGACTTGGAGAATAAATCAGGCATGGAAAAATGAAACGGTGTATACTATAGTGAACGTCATTCTAGGAATGCATTTTGAAGCGGGATTGCTGCTTTGAATTCTCACAGCTAAGGAAAAGATTGTAAAGCAGAGTTTTTACCTTTCATCTTTAGAGGCATACTTGTCAAAGGCAGAGATTTTCAGAGAGAAGAAGGAAATCACACTGGCAATTCAGAATTACAGTCAGGCAATCAAGTGCAGACCCAAAGATTCTGATCTCTATTTCAAGAGGGGGGAGATGTATGAGAAGACAAACAGAGTGCTGGCCATTGATGACTATTCGAAAGTAAGCTTCATGACACCCCCTGCTCCCATTGATAGATTTTTTTTTGTATTGCAATCCTTTTTTCATAATATTTGTTTTAAGAGTGGTTGGCCTGTGGTATGCATGTGCACCAGATGCATATCTGGTACCTGAGGTGCCATCAGGTGCGTGGAACTGGGATTACAGATAGGTGTGAAGCACACCATGGTACTGGGACCAAAGCCCCATTCTTCTACAAAGCATCAAACTGCCCACAACCACTGAGCCATCTCTCCAGCTCCCTAGCAAACATTTTTAATGGTTATCATGTGTTTTATATAGCCAAACGAGTTATAAGTTAGGAACTAGCATTTCCATTGTTGGTATGTTGTTATCACCAATTTTGCAATTTAAAAACATTGGTGAATAAATGGAAAACAAAAGGTAGATATGAAACATTGAGGCAACCCCAAAGAAGTCTCAGCTTTTCTGGTTCTCTGTTCTTGGACTAAGAAATGTGGTTTGAGAGACCTTTGAGAATTTCCTTTTCTCTTTAGATAATGGAAAAATTTCCTCTTTCCTTCTGTTAGCTCTTGAACAGCTGATGATCTCTTCATGGTACCTACTAGTTCTTGAAGTGACTGTGATCACGGATTCATTCACTCTTCTTTCTTTCATTTGTTGACCCAGGCACTGCATACATAATATAGTAGAAAACTGATGAATGATATAGACATGTTTCTGGATTATGCAGATATCAAAGAAAAGCTACTTGAGGAAAGATAGAAACACATATATGAGATATAAAATGATGATGGTGCCATGAAGAAAAGAAGGTTGGGTGGAGGTATCTCTATTTGTTTGTAGGTATTGGGATACCTGGCAAGGAAGTGAGCTTTTGATTGAATCACACCCTGAGGATGCCATCAAGGCAACATGACTCCCCTGGCTGCAGAAAGACTTGATGATCTACTGACTTCTAACTATAAATCTCAGTCCTTCCTGAGCATAATGGATGAATTAAAAGAAACTGCATAAATAATTCATTTGTGCATGTTCCCAACTGCCATGGTACTTCTTTATTTAGCTCGACATTCTTCTATTTATGGAAAGTATTGTTGGCTTGTAACTTCTGATCTAGAAGTAACTAAAAATCTCTTTTGAAAATGCAGGTAGTGTTACACGCACTGAATAGGTTTAATTTAGGAATTTATATGCATGCATATATGCATATAACAATGAAAAAAGATCATGATTTGAAAGAGCAAGGAGGAATATAAGGGAGAGTTTAAAGGAAAAGAAAGGAAGGGAGAAATAATATATTATAATCTCCAAATTAAGGAAAAACTTTTAGAAATTAGTAATAATTGACTCATCTCACTTCCTGCATCTGACACCAGGAGTTTAACAACAGATTACTGTAACAACCTGAAAAACAAAAAACAAAAAACAAAAAACAATTCCCAATCGCCTTAGCATGTTTCTTTCTGCTTTGAACATCCCTGGAGACGTCCTTTGTGCCGCAGTTCGGGAGACTCTACCCTCTGCCGCTTTGTATGTCAGTGTGTAGTTATGAGTCACATCCTTCCTCTTCTCACATTGGGGACGAGGTTAAGCTACAGCCTATGGGACTGAACCAGCTCAGCTCTTTCACCCACCGTCAGGACAGAATAGTATGAGACAGCACAACCTCACTCTTCAATGCTTTTATTTTGGGGATTATACTATAATTACATCATTTCTCCTTCCTTCTTCCTTTCAAACCCTCCGCATATCCCTACTTGCTCTTTTTAAAATCCATGATCTCTTTTTTCATTAATTGCTGTCACATGCACGCACACACACACACACACACACACACACATACACACACACACACACTCCAAATTATGACTTGTTGAATCTGTATAAAGCTACTCGTATGTATTTTGTGAGGGCTGACCATCGATACTGGATAAGCAGTTGGTCCGTTCTTCCCTAGAAATGACTATTCATCCCAGTCTCATCATTCCTTAGTTGCCTGTAGCTCTGTGTAGAGATGAGGCCTCGTGCTCTTTCCCCCATGTACCGTGTCGTGTCTGTTAACGTTGTCCTCAGTCAGCCCATGCTTAGGAGGTCACATGGGTGAGACTTAATGGGGTAGCAGCTGAGATTGCTAGGAGACACAGGAATTTTTATCAGCGAAAGTTTCAGTGGTCAAAAGCTTTGTTTTTATATTTACCATTTATCTTTCTTCGTAAATGATGTTCCCTCTCAAAAATTTGATGGTGGGGCATGTCTTAATATAATCCTTAAACACAGATTTAAAATTTTTAGTATCTTGAAGTGGGTTTCTCTTATGTAAACTTAAGTTGACTGTACCTTGTCTTAATTTTTTTCTCCTATGTAACGTGTTTGCATCCTCTCACGACTCTAGTGTAACATGTTTGCATCCCTGCATCACTCTAGTGTAATGTGTTTGCATCCCTGCATCACTCTAGTGATAATGTGTTTGCATCCCTGCACCACGCTAGTGTAACGTGTTTGCATCCCTGCACCACTCTAGTGTAACGTGTTTGCATTCTCTCACCACTCTAGTGGTAATGTGTTTGCATCCCTGCACCACGCTAGAGTAACATGTTTGTATCCCTGCACCACGCTAGTGTAACGTGTTTGCATCCCTGCATCACTCTAGTGTAACGTGTTTGCATCCCTGCACCACGCTAGTGTAACGTGTTTGTATTCTCTCACCATGCTAGTGTATTTACTATAATCCCAAGAGAACAGATGCCTTAATGAAGCGTGCAATATATTACTTTGAAAATGAAAACTGGATTGGAACCATACATGATTTTACAGCTCTGTTAAAACTTGAGCCCAAAAATTCTCAAGCAAGGTAAGAATTATTTTATATGTAAATTTCAAAAAGACATATTAATTAAATATATTTGCAGGAAAAATCACTCGATGTAATCTGACAGCCATTTTAAAACAATAAGTTAATTTTCAGCGTCAAGCCATTTCCTTGCGTTTCCAAGAAGTAACTTTCTAACTATGTAAAGCCTTGCTCATTGGCCACAATTTCCTTCTCTGCATTTCTTTTTCATTCATCATCTTTGTATCCACGGAGTACATATATCTGGTCAAATGTATTCTGTAATATCTTATTGTAATTTGTGTATTAATCTTCATTATTTCTTTTTGTTTTTTATTTTATTTTCTTTCCTTTTTTCTTTCTTTTTAATGAAAATAGATTTTATTCATATAGTATGATTACAATTCCTGATTACAATTTCCCCTCATCCTCCCCCCATCTTCTCCTTCCACTTCCTTCCCACCTCCTCTTCTATCCAGATCTACTCCCTTCTGTCTCTTTAGAAAACAAACGGGCTTCTAGGAAATAATATTATAATAAGATTTAAAAGCTCACACATAGGAATAAGACAAAACAAACAAACAGAAGGAAACAAGGCCAAGAAAAGGCACAAGAAATGTGTGTGTATAATATATTTCTACTGTATTAGGTTTCAATACCACCCCTCAAGTAGCCCTTAATTTTAGCTTTCTCTCTACCCATAATCCTTCCCTCATCCCCCTCTTCCATTCCCCTCCTGGCTTGATCCTCTCATTCGAGTCCCTACTCCAACCATCCATAACTATGTATTCTATTTCCGTTTCCTAGGGAGATTTAGCTGTCCCACACCAGTTTCTTACTCTGAATCTTATCCCTGTGCTTCTACAGATTGTAGCTTGCTTATCGTTGACCTAACAGCTAATATCAATGAATAAAGTGGATACATGTATTTGTCTTTCTGAGCTGGGTTACCCCACTCAGGATATTTTCTCTAGTTCTCTCCATTTATCTGCAGATTTCATGAGTAATATTCAATTGTGTAAATGTACTGTATCTTCTTTATTCATCTGTTAAGGGTGTTTCCAATTGGTGGATATTACGAATAGGGGAGCAATGAACCCCAAATTTTTATTGACCTATTCAATGTTTTTTTTTTTGTATAACTCTTGTCTCTATGTTATTTTAAATTTAGGTAGTTCCAATTTGTATGTGTACTTGTTTGAAATACAGGTATGCCTCATTAAACTTTGTGTATCAATTTTCAAATGTAATTTCATTTTAATTTTCAATAATACTTGTAAGCATGGTCATAAAGTGAAATGAGGTGTTCATTCATTTGTAATAATTAAACCAAGCTAACATGCCTATCACATTACACCCATCTTTCTTTATGATGATTGCCAATTCTTTCAGTGATTTTGAAATATACAATGCGTAAGAGTTAACTATAATCACCATGCTGTACAATAGATACATGGGCCTCATTTCTCACTGATGCCTTGTACTTTGACCAGCATCTTTCTTTGTTTATCTGCTCCGCACTCCAGCTTGTGGTAGCCAGGACTCCTAGTCTGCTTCTACCAGTTTGCCCCATTCAGGTTCCACACAGTCAAGTCATGTGGTATTTATCTTTTTCTGCTTGGTTTATTTCACTTAGCATAATGTCTCAAGGTCGATTCCTGCTGTTAACATCTCTCTCTCTCTCTCTCTCTCTCTCTCTCTCTCTCTCTCTCTCTCTCTCCATTTGTTGAAGGAGTGAAGAAAGGATAAGTCGAATCTTTGCTATTTGGTTGAATTTAACTATGGGTCTCAGCTATGTTTTTAGAGTTGCTGATTCAGTTCCTTCACTTGTCAGGGGTCTATAAGATCTATCTATTTCTTCTTGAGCCAATTTTGGTGGTTTGTGTATTTCTAGGAAGCTGTTCATTTTATTTAGGCTATTGTCATACTTTATTACTGGGTAACAGAATATCTAAAACTGAGCAATTTGCAATCATCAGTTTACAGTCCCACCAACAATGAGTAGAGTTCTTCTTACTCAGTATCCTTACCAAAAATTATTGTAGTTTCTATTCCTGATTTCCTGATAGTAGCTATTCTGAGCAGGACTAAGATAGACTCTCTAAAGATTGTAGGAATATATATATGTGTGTGTGTGTGTGTGTGTGTGTGTGTGTGTGTGTGTGTGCTTTTGTTTATATGTGTGTACAACAATTAATGAAAAAATCACGACTTTTTAAAGAGAGCAAGGAAGGTTGTATGAGGAAGTTTGAAGGGAGGAAAAAAAAGGGGGAAGGTGTAATTATATTATAATCTCAAAAATAAATGAAATAAATAAAATATTTATTGACAATTCATTTTCTTGAGAATTGTTTAGTTCATTTTTAGTTAGGTTATTTGTTTTCTTTTAAGTTCTTTATATATTCTGTACATAATTCCTGTATTAGCTGCATAGCCAGCAAAGATTTTCTCCTATTTGGCAGGTTGTCTCTTTAATCAATTAACTATTTCCTTTGCCATACAGAATTTTAAAATTTTATTGGAAACTATTTGTTGGTTGCTGGCCTTATTTCCTAAGTGTATGGATATCTAATAAAGTCTTTTTCTATACCTGCATCTTGTTTTATCTGCCTATTTTTTTTTTAGCAATTTTGTATTTTCAGGTTTCATGCAAACATCTTCAGTGCATTTGGATGATATTTATGCAGCATAAGAGATATGCATCTAAGTTCATTCTTGACATGGGTATCCACCTTCTCCAGGACTAGTTGTTGATATGATCATTTCTTTCAATTTTAAAATCTGAATTTGATTTCAGGAATTTTCTACTTTATCAAATGAAGGAAGTCTCCCACATTCTCTTAGAAGCATGCCCATTGATATGGCATGCTGTTAGTACCGAGGTAACAGACTATCTGAAACTGAGCAATTTACATCTGGTATGGTTTTGTCTTTAACAGTGAGATGGAACTCAAGTTCTGCCTAGTAGCTGTCTTTTGAAAGCCACGGGCATCTTGAAACCCTTGAAGAAAAAACATCCCGTCTTTAAGATTGTCTCATCCATGTCCTGACGAACCAAAATTTTATATTTATTCTTTGAGACAGGGTCTCTCTATGAAGCCCTAGCTGACATGGTTCCAGCCTTGTAGACCAGAGATCCTCCCGCCACGACTCTTGGCGCCTGCTACCCAGCAAATTCCCAAAGTTCTTACAGAATCCACATTTGAAGGTGCCCTCTCATAGCACGCCTCCAGGCCACATTACAGCTCCAAGGACAGGGTCTCTGGTGCTGTTTTCATTCCTATCCAGTCAGTACTTCAACCACTTCTGAGCTCATACCTGGGGCACTACACTACCCCATTTCTAGCTCTGGCTATCACAAAAATAATGACCATTAGTCTCAAAAGCGGCATAAAGACCAACACTTCAAAATAGCAGATATCTCTGTGTGATAAAACGGGCCCGACTTATAACACCTTGACCTGACCTCCTTATTTTCCTTCATCCCAACTCCTTTGTGCCAGTATTGATCCTTTAAAAATAAAAAAGGACACCCAAAACAGATCAATAATAAAGAATGGGTTTTTGAAGGGATTTTTAAAAATGTTGTCTCCCCTGTAAAAGAAAAGAGATGAAGTTAATAACCACTCAGCTACCTCACAAACTTAATTAATTAGCAAATGATTGTGTAACAAAGTGTCCTCTATAAAAGCTATGCTGTTTTGACAGCAACATCACGCCGAAACTCTCGAAAAGCAAAGATAAAAAGCAGAAATTAGGCGATAGGTTTAACAAAAAGAATATCTACTTTGCAGTACGTATTAAAATCTTTTTCTTTTTCTAGGACAATCCGAGGGAGAGCATATTTTAAAAGGAGTTTATATAAACAAGCCACCCAAGACTTTTCTGTTGCCATCCACTTAGATCCTAACAATTGGTTAGCGCTGTTCTACCGAGCCTGCTTGTTCAGGAAGACTAATCCGCTCAGAGCGCTGCAGGATTACAGCGTGTCAGGTAAGCTGGGCAAGTGTGAGCCCCTGATAGGCGGGTCAGCAGCTTGACTGCGCGCGCGCGGGAGTGAGCATTTGATAGGAGCGCCAGCAGCTCAGTGGTTTTACGGCCAGTGCTGTGAATACTGATAGGCTTAAAATATCTGTTTTGTATTGTGCATGCGTGTTGTTCACGTGTGTACAGGAGTGCCCATATGTGTAGGGTTCAGGAGTTGACCACTATTTTATTTTACTGTTTTTCTCTCCCATTTTTTTTAAATTTAATTTTATTACTTTTTTGTGATACGGCCCTACTGGCCTCAGTAAATAGGCCAGCAAATCTCGGGGTTCATTCTCCCCAGGCTCCCAGACCCTGAGATTGCCGGCGGCACATGCTACCAGGTCAAGTTTGTCTCCACCTCCCCAGTGGTATCAGGGGATAGAATTTAGGCCCTTTTGCTTCAAGGCAAGCACTTTCCTAATATATCATCCCAGCCCCTATTTGCCTCATAGATGGTGAGAGGAGCTGCATGCTTCATGTTTCCCAGGGCTCTGGGGAAAGAGGGCTGAAGATGGCTGTTCCCTTCTCTTTTTATCTTCGCATTTCATTGCTGCACTGACTCTTATAAAAGCCCATATATTTCACTATCATGTTTTTGACAGTAGAGAGGAAGTTGGTAAGCCAGAGACTTGTCAGGTGACCCCTAAGCTTGGTACTGGTGAGGGCCGCTCATCCGCATTGGAGGTTGTTTTGGTCTTCTTGTTTCTGTTGTTTGGAATATAAAGCCAAGCTACCCATTTCAATTATGATAAATAGTCAACTTTCCCACTACCATGTTCTTGCCTTCTTTAATAACCTGTTTTGTTGACAGAGGTTTCTGTCCTGCCAGGTCCTACAGCCATTCAGTCCTAAAAACCACACAGAGGTCTACATTAATTATAAACTAGTTGTCCTGGCAGCTCAGACTTCTTATTAACTCTTACATCTTAAATTAGCCCATAATTCTTGTCTGTGTTAGCCACGTGACTTGGTACCTTTTATCAGTGAGGCATTCTCATCTTGCTTCCTCTGTGACGACTACAGACTGACTCTTTTCTCTTCCCAGAATTCTCCTGTTCTCATTGTCCTGCCTCTACTTCCAGCCTGGTTATCCTACCTATACTTCCTGCCTAGCTACTGATCAATCAGTATTTTATTAAAACAATACAAGACCATTGTCCCACAGCACTCTTTGAAGCTGCCTGCCACTGTAGATGAATAGGCCTGGCATCAGCCTTATGCCTTGTTCTGAACCAGAACACTCACACCACCTGTTCTTTGGTCTTTAATGTCTTTGTGGAAATAAGGAGCTACTGTGAGCAAGGGCATCCTTCCATCAGCTGTTACATTCTAGACCAGCCTTCGCCACTGACTTACATCTTAGTCATTGTCAGTGTATTGTGCCCCTTTGGACCTTAATCTCTTCACTTTTAAAGTGAGTAGAGTGTCTCAGTTTTCCCCCAGCTCTAATGAATCTGTGAGCCATAATAGCCACAGTATTACCAGTTAGTGTTTGTTTTGGGTTCTTTGAGATAGAGTTTCTCTATGTAGCCCTGGCTGTCCTGGAACTCACTCTGTAGACCTGGCTGGCCTTGAACTCTGCCTGTTTTTGCCTCCCAGGTGCTGGGATTAAGGGCATGCACCACCACCACTGGGCAGGTAGCAATTTTTAAATATATATATTATTTTCACACACCAAATGGGCACACTCATCACAGATACATTGTTTTTGGAATAAGGGAATAATGCTAAATAAGTGAAAGCAATATGGAGGGCTTGTTATGAAATATAACTCTATGATTATTTAGAAATCAAAGTGTGTACTTTGTATCTTCAGTTCTCATAAATGATGGCTATGATAACCTTAACTGCTTTCTACATCGGGGCATACTCTATACACAACTAAAACTTTGGATGTTGGCAATTTGTGATTTTGAAACTGTTATCGCTCTGGAAAGGTAAGTCTTTCTTTTCATACTTCTTCACTATTGTATAAAATCAGTGAAAAATAAAAGGAAGCTCCCCCCTCACTATTGGTAACGTTGTAGAAAATGAGACTGTAATTATAAAGTCACACTAGAATTAGAAAAACACTAAAATAAGTTTACTGCTCAAATAAGGCTTGCTCATTTCAGTCACTTTGTAAAATTTAGAGGTTGAAAAGACTTACATTTTTGAATATTAATTTAAAACGTTACTAGTGGGGGCTTGAGGACAGTTAGGCTACAGTTCTTTTGAAGTTAAGTCACTTCATCAAGTTTTAAAATAAGACAAAATATTTGTTTCTTTCATTGTTATGCACAATATCCAGTGTAATGTAAACAAAGACCCTATTGTTTGGAATGTTTGACTTCAGTTTGTCTAGTAAAGCAGAAGAGAATCTAATACCATTTAGGAAACAGGACATGGAAGAGACACAAATTGAAAGTTAGGTAAGCCAAAAGCCAGCTTTAAAAGCATATATTTTAATTGAGTAATTCTCTTTCTCTCCAATGAATCACTCATTAAAATGTAAGTTATTATAGGCAACTAGGAAATGCCGAGAGTTGGAAAAAACGCCATCTAATTATCCAATACCAAGTGGTCAGTGTTGAACATATACATACACGTAACATTACCCAGGCTGAGCAAGTTAGTTTTAGGAATATATAAGGTATGTATTCATGTATGAGATAATATACATGTATATCAATAATTAATGAAGACAGAGGCTATGACTTTGAAATAGAGCAAGGAGGGGTATATGGGAGTGTTTGGAGGAAGGGAATGCAAAATGATGTGATTATATCTAACTTCAAAATGAAAGAAAATGAGACAGTGGGGCTGATCTATTGGGAGCTCACCAAAGCCAGCTGGACTGTGACGGGAACAGCATGGGATAAAACCGGACTCTCTGATCAGGGCGAACAATGAGGACTGATGAGAAGCCAAGGTCAATGGCAAGGGGTTTTGATCCTACTTCATGTTCTGGCTTGGTGGGAGCCTAGCCAGTTTGGATGTTCACCTTCCTAGACATGGACGGAGGGGGGAGGACCTTGGACTTTCCACAGGGCAGGGAACCCTGACTGCTCTTTGGATAGGAGAGGGAGGGGGAGAGGAGTGGGGGGAGGGGGAGAAGAGGGGGGGGAGGGGGGGAAGAGGGGGGGGGGGGGGGGGAAATGGGAGGCTGGGAGGAGGCGGAAACTTTTTTTTTCTTATTCTCAATAAAAAAAAATGAAAAAAAAATGAAAGAAAAACATGGAAGTTTTCAGAGCAAGTTTTAAAAGGTATGCTATTTCTGTGATGCCTAGCAGACAACTTATCCAGTAAAAACGTTGAATTGGAGAGTAACGAGTATAGGCCTCTGAGGACTTTTCTTTGGGGTTAGGAAGGCAGAGTGACATTTGGGATATAAAGTCAGCAGATGGGCAGAAGGACCCTTGCTGTCCAGCTGCCAGGGCTTCCATGGCCTGGACTCAGTACATATTCTGTGATATGCACTTTCCTTGTCTTAATGAAGCACTAAGCAAATAAGTCTAAGGTCATCCCCATACTAACAATCACTTGACTATAAGAAAACATTTACTTGGCATCGAAAAGCAATTTTACATATACCCACGTGGAGAACTTTTTTTTTTTAATTGAAAACCACCAAATCTTAGATTGATCAGTTTTCATTTTTATACATGGCTTTAAGCAAAGACTTTTTATTTTATTTTATTTTTTTTATTGAGAATAGGAAAAAAAAGTTTCCGCCTCCTCCCAGCCTCCCATTTCCCTCCCCCCCCCCCCCCCCTTCTCCCCCTACCCCCACTCTTCTCCCCCTCCCCCCACTCCTCTCCCCCTCCCTCTCCAATCCAAAGAGCAGTCATGGTTCCCTGCCCTGTGGAAAGTCCAAGGTCCTCCCCCCTCCCTCCATGTCTAGGAAGGTGAACATCCAAACTGGCTAGGCTCCCACCAAGCCGGAACATGAAGTAGGATCAAAACCCCTTGCCATTGACCTTGGCTTCTCATCAGTCCTCATTGTTCGCCATGATCAGAGAGTCCGGTTTTATCCCAAGGCAAAGACTTTTGAGTCGAGGAAAAATAATCATTGATTCAAGGTAACTCAAGAGTAAGTCAAGTTTTGCTAAGGGTCTACCCCTTAACTAGGAGACTACCATTTCCCTTCCCAGTATAGAACCTATGATTGTTAATTCATTACTAAGTCTTTTAAAAGAATGTTCCTCTTTTATTGAAAATAAATTTTTCCATACAGTATATTCCGATCCTGCTTCCCTTTCCCCACCTCCTCTCAGATCTTTCCCGTCTTCCTAACCACCCATGCTCCTATTTTTTAAGAGAACATAGTAAACTAATTTCATTGCTTTAGTAAGATATTAAGAATATCTGATTGCAATTGGCTCACATATTTCATTAACTTTTTAATAATTTTTAAAAATGGACATAAATTTAAATTACTAAAAAGATTTTCCTTTCTTGTTTTTCCATTTTTTTAGAACTGCTACTTTGGCTTATGTGAATATTGGCCTCATCTATCTATTCCACCTGGATAATTACACTGAAGCCTTTTGGCGATTCTCTGAGGCAATCCGAGTTGATCCTTTATATATTCAAAGCTATATTTGTAGAGCAGAAACCTATTATAAGGTATTTAATACCTGGGGATCTTGAATTTAAAAAATAATTTAATTGTTTGGATATTTTTCCAAGGTAACTGATATGAGTGTAATTTTTCAGCTAACGACAGAGGCTTATAAACAATAGCTATTAAGCAGATACAGTTAGTTATTATTTGTTATTTGCAAAACCTCTTCTTACAAGGTGTCCATTTTCATTTATAGTATCTCTAGCACGTGTTTCATATTTCACTACAAAACAATATACAATTATTGTAGGTAATGCATTCTATGCAAATAAGAGTACGTGATGAGGAATTTTTTGAAAATCAGTAGCCTGTAATTTTATTGGCTGGGGAAATCTGTTAACCCTTTAGAATCGGTTGTCTAATTCTGTGTATGTATATGTACCGGAAAGTGTGTGGGTTCATAGAATAAAATCTATTCCCCACAGTTCAAATAACTCTTAGCACTACTGTCTTCCATTCTCCTACTAGTCTGGTCCATTAAGCAGTGCTTAAAGAATTCCACTGCTTTCCAAATGCAAAACCAAACTCCAAATTCCTCTTATGAAAAATGTGGTTAGGCCTGCCCCAGTCCCTGCTACCAACTTCTTAGTTAGGGTTTATATTGCTGTGAAAAGACACCATGGCCATCGCAACTCCTATAAAGGAAAATATTTAATTGACGTGGTGGCTTAGAGTTTCAGAGGTTCAGTCTATTATCATGGTGGGATGTGGTGGCATGTGGGCAGGCATAGTGCTGGAGAAGGAGCTGCTACATGGTGATGTGCAGGCAACAGGAAGTAGACTGAGGTACTGGATGTGGCTTGGCATATATGAGACTTCAAAGCCCACCCCCACACAACATACTTCTACCAACAAGTCCATACTTATTCCAACAAAGCCATACTTCCTAATAGTGCCACTCTCTGTGAGCTTCTGGGGACCAATTACGTTCAAACCACAACAAATGGTATCCTAATAATGAATAACTTTCTTTAAATCTTAATTTTTACAACTTATCTAAATTAAAAATGTATATAATGGATTCATTGTAACAAATTGAAATAGCTGGGTAAGTAGTCTCTCTTCTCCTCCTGTCACCAGATGTGACTTCCCGTAGAATATTCCTTTAGCTTCCGTCTCCGTTTCTCAAAGATATACCTTTGGGCCATTTCCTACCAACTGCTCTGTCCCAGAAGATGCTTCCTTCCCAAGACCATTGCCATAGCCTCTTCATCTTCTTACTGCTCTTTGCTGCTTTGATAGCACTAACATAGAAGTTCTAGGGACTGTGCCAAAATATAAGTCAGGACTTTTACTTTTTTTCTTAGAAACCACGGGGCCTAGCATTTGCTACCTTCCCACCCCTGTTTATATATAGCCTCTGGATATATTTGTTTTAATCATAGCATGCTGGTTTATGCTGTGGCAAAAATACCTTCAAAAGCACCTTAACAACATAACAAAGACTTATTTCTTGTTCATACCTCATGTTCTAAATTCCATTTTCTGCATCTCAGAACTTGGTATGTCTAGAGTTCAATTTGTAGGGAAAGCCCAGCCCAATGGGGGGGGGTGTTCGCCTCGGGCTAATGTTTACGTATAAATCTGGTGGGCATGAGCTCCACCTGTCCTTTTTGTATTTCCTGCCCATCGCTGGATCCCTGGTGTTGTAAGCTATCCCTTCATTACAATTTGCTGTTTCATATTAAGCTAGCCTGGTTATTATGCCACTTACATCAATTCAAAGTTCTTATCCTCCAGATAACAAAGGTAGAGGATCCAGAGCAGATCCAACACTGTTCCCAGGGAAAGTGTATTGTTAATATTGTTGGGTGAGACACAGGCATGCTTACAGTTTATCATTCTTTTCACTAATCTGTGAATGGTATAGGCAAAGCTGGGAAGTTTGGGGAAGCTGGTGTGTTCCAATAACATACATAGAATTCAAAGTGTTAGTAGGATAGCTGAATGTCAGCACATGTCCTCACTCTTTGTTCTAAGAAGCCTAACTATCTACACAATCATTGTTGACTACAAGTGTTTACACATGATGAACTATTGCAGTCGGAGAAAAAAAATGCAATGGAGAACTATACAAGCACATTTGGAGGTATTTCCATGAGGTATTTTTGAAGAAAAAAGTAAGATTCAGAAAAGAAAATCATGTGTATAAATATAATCTAATCTAAAAATAACTTTAAAATTAAACCCTGNGAAACCATTCAGGACAGAGAAGGTCCGTTAATGGTTTGTATGCAGACAATATCTTGGCCATTCAGCGTTATGGAAATATATATTCTTCTGTTTGTAGGTTCAGTCTCCATTTTTAATCTGAGCTAAAACCCAACTCCAGAAAACTTTGTAAACCCAGAGAGTGAGCTTCTGTCAGCCGCATTCCACTTTAATTAGTGTATAGATATTTCGGTGGTTTAGAAGCAGAGTGCCCTCCCCCATAGGTCTATGCGGTGCTCAACTGTTAGTAGCCTAGTAGCACTGTTTGAGTTGTTGTAAAATGGAAGGAATCATTACTTGAGTATTTATAGTGTGTCTTGCTGTGTCACTTCTTTGTTGTTCACACAGATATGAGAAGCCTGGCTACACAAACCCCTGTCATGGCGTAATTGGTCACCATGCTTACCCCTATGTGACAGACTGAATGCTCTAAAACTGAGGCAAAATAAATCATACCATTTAAAGTTGCCTTATTGGGTACTTGTTAACTAACAGCAGCAACAAAATTTGTAAAATACAGAAGGTGCCAGCAAGAAGTGGGGTTGTTGCTGTGAAACACCGGGCCATGTGGTTTGCTGTGTCTCCTGGTAATATCAGAAGTTACACCAATGGCAGCCTAGGCATGCACTTAAGAACAGCAATAGATGGGGGAAAGCCCAGGGGACTCAACCCTACACAGAGAACTACAGGTAGCTAAGGCGCGGCAAGAGAGGGGGAAATAGGATTCCTCATTGAAGAGTGCACCAGCTGGTTATCCTGTATTCGTCAGCCCTACTTCCTGTCAGGTCTCGGCTACTTGGCCTGTTGTTGAGAGGCATCCCAGCCTTAAGCTTCCGTTACTGTGGGGCAACCTGCTACCCGTGTGTTCTCTACCATGAGTGACTGTTATTTTTTCAAACCACAAGTCAAACCAAATTCTTCTAAGGTATGAGATCACAAGACGGAGAAAAGCAACTAATACCAACCTAGACGGTTGGTACAACCAGGTATGCCAATGTGAACATGTCAGTACTTCGTTAATTGTGCAACCGGGAAAAGGGCAGCTTAAGAAGTTGAAATTCTAGAATTCATTTAAACAAATTCTGTCTCTTTGGATTTCCTCTTATTTCTACCCATTCTTTTCTTCAAAGAGTTTGTTCTGTTTCAGTACCCTCCATGTCCACATCTAAGTCAGTTTGTGGGATTCTTCCGGGGGACCCTGCCATCCTGTTTGTTCTCAGTTGTTCAGGTTAATTTTTCTGGGTTTGTGTAGTGCTCCATTGGTGATGTCTTCAGCGGTGGTTGACTTTTGTTTTGAACGTGTGGAAATTTAATTTTTGGCTCTGTGACCATTAGTAAAGATAGAATGAATCTTTACCTTCCACGTGGATCGCAAATGGACCTCTTTTCCCACCATCCTTATATTTTGTTTTATTCACACCCATTCACTGATTCATTTTGTTTCAACTCTGCTTCTCCACCTTATTTTTAAAGTGGAATTTACTTTTGCTTCTTAAGGTACTTTTTATGTTAGTTTATTTAAAATTTGGTGAAATAAATTTTTAAAAGGTTGAGGGAGAAAACTTGAAAAGTTTAGTAAAAGAGAAACATACATAAGAAAGGATTACTTTTACAATTTATTAATTATAAAACTTGGGGACAAATATAAGATTAGAACTGGAAACAATTGCCCCAGCCTGGATGCACCCACCCCCAGCTACCATCCAGTTCCAAAAAGGCCTGTGGCATCTGCTGGCCCCACCTATTCTTGGGGGCCACTCTCTCTCTTCCTTGGTCCTCCAAGGACACTTTGATCCATTTCCGCCAGCTGAATGTGAACTCTGCTCTGGGGTCAAATGCCCTGTTTAATTGCATAATGGACCACAACAATAACACGATTCCCAGAACATACATATACTACAACATATCACATAAATGAGTGTAAAATGATACATGAATGGGTATTTGAAACCATTCTTCAAAATTAAAGATAACTAATTAAAAAACAAAAGATGTTGCATCATAGGACTTTTTTGATTTTGTGAATTATATTTGCTTTGGTGAATTAAGAAAACTATGTCTACGTTTTGTATGTATATGCACACATACATAACAACAATGTAAAAAAGGCTACGAATTTAAAAAGAGTAAGGCAGGTATATTGGAGGGTTTGGAGGGCATAAAGGAAAGGGGAATGATGTAATTATATTATAATCTCAAAAATAGAAACAGAAACGAGTAGAGAGGAAAATCAAGGATATTTGTTTAAGCTTCTACAAAAATTCTGCAAGAAATTGTGGGAGGGGCTAAACATCAAGAAGAAGATTGCTTCAACTAGAATACTGATTCCTGTTTATCGTTCAACAGCTGCACAAACCGAAAAAGGCAGTATATGAATTATCCCGTGCTATCCACCTCCAGCCAGATGCAATCCAGTTATATATAATAAGGTACCGGCACAGAAACTGACTTCTCCTCGGGATAACTTGACACCCCACTGTTTATCTTCCACGATCCTCACCTTATGTCTCACCTCCAAACAACGTCTGCCTCTCAACTTTTATTTCTTGTTTTGGATTAAATGTTAAGATAACCATATCATTCCCGCTGCTGTACTCTTACACTAAAGTACAGTTTCTGAGAGCGAGGTTCTAGCCAACTTGCTATGTAGGTAGCACATATACCCTCAGAGTAAGGGAGTACCTTTTCAACATTGGTTCTTTTTGTAGCCACAGTACTAATAGAGCCCTCTGCCAAAACAGTGAAAAAAATGACACTCAAAATTGTACTTTAAGTTTAGTAGAATTTGGTATAGAGACCTGATGTAAGATATTATTACCAAAACCATAATCTCTCAATATTAATAGGCCCGGGGAAATGCAATAGGATATATTTTCTGATAAAGATATATTTTGTGTTTGAACAGTTAAACCACATTTCAGAACTTATATAAATACTTCTTCCCATTCTGTTCTATGACCTTTAACTTTATTTTACTGTCACATTTCCTAAATTGTTTCTTTCATCATAACTTCATGTTCATTTGCCATTGTGAACTTTTAAAAACGGTTTAATTTTCCAGAAATGGTGGTGCGTGTCTTTGATCCAAGCACTTGGAGGCAAAGACAGAGAGGAAGAGAGAAAGGCAGAGAGAGAGAGAGAGAGAGAGAGAGAGAGAGAGAGAGAGAGAGAGAGAGANAATGGGTAAGGGGATTATGGAGGAAAGAGGTAAATAGAGATAGAGAGATGGGGGGGGAGAATTGGGGAGGAAGAGGCAGTAGCTACCTCTTCAGAAGCAGGATGGAGAGAGAGAGAGAGAGAAAGGGAGAGAGAGAGAGAGAGAGAGAGAGAGAGAGAGAGAGAGAGAGAGAGACAGAGACAGAGAGACAGAGAGTCAGAGACAGAGAAGCAGAGAGGCAGAAGGGGGGGTGCAGAGAGAGATGCAGAGAAGGGGCAGAGAGGCAGAGAAAGAGAGGAGGGAGAGAGAGAGGCAGACAGAGGTAGGATCCCTCTGAGTTTGAGGCCAGCTTAGTCTACATAGCAAGTTCCAGGACAGGAAGCACTACAAAGAGAATCCCTGTCTCAAAATGCCAAAAGCCAAAAACAAGCAAACAACTCTATAATTAAAAAAAATGTTTTTATGTATACTTATATAAATGGGTCAATGAATGTTTTATAATTATAAAATGTAAGTAACATTATTAACTTTTTTTGGATACTTATTTTGATGAATGAATGCTTAACACTGAACAGGACATTTATTTCACCCCACTAAGGCTCGAGGGTTATCATGGGAGAGCTGGGTGGAAAGGCTTTAAGATCAGGAGAATAGGAGAAGGACTGTGGCAATACTGTCTTCTGGCCATGGCCCAGCCACTTCAGTCAGAGCCTCACTGCAGCTGTGGTGACCTGCAATGAACCCACACAAGACTGGGCAATCAACAATCAGTCGTGATCCAAAGGGGTATAGGAGAGCCCAATTTCACCCTGTTGAACTAAATTGGCTACTGATGAATTCTGGGGGAAAGCAATAATTTGTTTCAGTAGGGTATCCCCAAGTGAGGAGCCCATGTTTCCGTGAGTTTTAAAACCATGGTCATATGGAAGATGCTGGCTAAACTCAGTAAGTCTTAAAACAGCAACAGCAATGCAGAGAAAGATTGAGTGTGAGACAGGGGCATTAGGAAGAAGGGGAGGTAAAATAGGAGTGGAGGGAGATGAGAAAAGTGTGGGGTTATAGTTATCAGAATGTGCTTTATACGTGTATGACACTGCCAAAGAACGAATCCAATAAAAGTTTCTAGAGGCCGCAGAATAATTACCTTTTCTCCGCTTTCAATATCCTGTCATTTCTTCCAGGGGACAGTACCTTCTAATGATGAAGTGTTATGATCTTGCAAAGTTCACTATTTATCAAGTAGCAGAAATGAACAAAGGTAAATGCAACTAATTCAAAATAAAAATGTTAAAGAAACATTTCTCCATTTTTTTTACGACTGGTAATACCTATATATTAATTGACAGCGTGAAGCATTCACTTGAAAGACAAAGTGTTGGAAATTTTAGTCCTTGATTTTACATAATCAACCCACATAGTGATTCATGGTCTAGAGAACTTTAGGAAAACACTTACTATATGAGATATCAGGCTTATAAGTTTACATTTTTGGTTTGTAATTGTGATAAATTTTTTTATATGGTAATAGGAGGTTTTGGTATGGTGTTGTTTGTCATTTTATGTTGCAAAAATAATATGATACTATGTGACTCCCTCAAAATAATTATATTCTAAGCCCTTGCAACCCAGCAGGGGTCCTGCTAAGCTCTGTTTTGCTTTCAGGTCTCATTGAGCTGACACCAATACAGCAAGCGCTCATTTACTCATTTTGTGAAAACCATGAAAAGGCTATTAGCTTCTTGGAGGGGGTCACAGTCAATAGACCAGAGATCTCCACTTTTGCACTCTTGGCAAAAGCCCAAATGAAGGCTAAGAAAATCAAGGTAAAAAAAAAATCTACTGATTAATGTTTATTAAACTTAGTAATGAATTCACATGTTATACTTAGAGTTGACATTTAAATACTTTTAGAAAATGAAATGATTGTATTTTTTTATGAACTACTAATCTATCCTAGTAACTGTATCTGTATTTATTATGTTAAATATTGACTTTCTAGTAATTAATTAGTTGGAGATAGACATGGAGAACCAGAGAGATAAAGATAGAAATAGAGAGAAAGATAGACAGATAGACAGAGATAAGAGACATAGAGATAGAAATTGAGCTAGATAGAGATAGAGAGACAGAGATGGAGATACAAGGAAGATTCTGTATGTTGCCCTGTGGTTTGGCCTTAGGGAACTGTGCGAGTCCTCTAGGGCCAGAGAGTGATCAACAGCCATCAGGAAGTAGGAAGTCAATGCTCTCAGCCCTGGAGGGAAGCAGATAGGTTTCTCTAGGAACAAAAGTGAGCCAGAAAGCTATTTCTCCCAGTCAAGGGTCCAGGGCACTCAACTGATACCATGTTTGCCACTCTGTAGAACCCAAATAGAGTTCCTAAATGAGCCTTGGAATTTTCTAACCTGTGGAACTTTTAGCTCATCCAATCAGAGGCGATGTTCTATTAACTCTATTGTCTCAATATCTCTCAGGTCCTCTTCCTTTCTTTATTTCATGGTCATTATCTTGGTTTGGAACAAGTGTTAAAATCTTCCAAGCTTTTAGCCACAACACACACAGAGTACTGGTTTCAGGACATCAATATGATGTCTCCATAAACCTGCACTCCAAGATTTCCCCGAGAAGACGTGGTAAAGTAGCCAAGAAGGGTCAGATGGGCAAAGCAAGAGAAAGCGAAGATGTGCTTGTTTTCACTGAAGTGAGATGGAAGACTGGAATGTGCTCAAGTCCTTATGAACTCAGGGACACAGTGGCAGGCTAGATGTCTAAAGCGGACAGGAATGGGGAAGAAGGAGATGGGGCCACGGGTCAGTCTCAGAAAAGAAGATAGAAAGTGTTCAATGACAGGAGAGAAAAGGGGTGAACTATTGAAATGTTTGAAATATTGGTATATGGAATAATATAAAGGAAGGATACAGAATATAATTCGGTTTTCCAATGGGAAGGACCTGTGCTGAGGATGGAAGATTGGATGTTGAGGTGGCTTGTGCACGTGGAGGAAATGCTGAAGAGGAGCCAAGTAAAATCCCACGACTGCTTTAACAGTTTACTACACTTCAGAAAGTAGAATAATAATAGCAAATGTGTTTAAACTTGATATTCATGTTTAGATTTATATGATGATTTGTTAAGTAATAAATGACATCTGGAAAATTAAACTTCTTTTTCATTAATGGGTTTCAACTATTTTTATTAGATGTATATGGGTAACTTTTGATGAAACTTGTTATTCTACAACTAGTTGAAATCCCATTAACAGTAAAACTGACAAATTATATCAGGTATCATCAATATTTCTATTGCTTTCTAAGTTCCCGGCATGTCACTCAGGCTAATTATTAGTAAATGCTCTACACGTTTAAGTCTGATGTTAGAATGTAGAAGTTCTAGGTATAAAAACTGACGTATGAAAGCCTGCTTCAGACCTGGCTTGTAGGGTGTCTCCTGGTGGGGGGGAGAACTTGCTGTGTTCATCTTCTGGAACGGGGTTTTTCAGTTGACATTTGCGACTGCATCAGATCTGTGTGCCTTTGTATGACATGAGAGCCGAGCTGCAGTGGGCTCCGAGTTCTCTTTACTTTTAAGGTTGTGATGTTTAACAAATAACTAATAAAAACATGCCCTTCATCTCTTATCTCTGTTCTTACTCTTATAGGAAGCTGTGAGAATATTTAAGAAGGCTTTGGAAATGTTTTCAAGTTCTGACAAAGGACCGAATGCCACTGCTGTTTTAGCAGAATGTCTGTATAACCTGGGTCTTTGTCACATGGAGGAAGGCAACCTACAAATGGTATCTGTGTGCTTAGAAGCAGAGATTATTTGTGACTTTCACACTGGTTGCTTGCATCAGTTTTGTTTCTGAAAGGCTACCCACAATAATGCAAGATATCAATTGACCAAACGGCTTCTAAAGCTTGGCTCACAAGAGGCAATCTGCACCCATTAATTCCTGTGAATTGTTTTAAATTAGAAATCAGCACATTTTATTGGATGCTAATTTGCCAATAATATTTTAAAGCTAATACATATTTTCTCACCAAAATAATAATTCTAACTGTAGGAAATTATTGTAGCAAAATAATATCCTCACACTAATTTATTAAACTGTAAGAAGTTGAATTGAGTATTTTAATGTGCTGCAGACTAAATGGATAATGATTAGAGCATTCTTTGAGTTTCCTTATTGATAACTGAAGAATCTAAATCAGATTGAAATGGGCTAATATGACTCAATACACTGGAAATTGTGGCACCCTTTTATCCTGAAACTGAACAACTCTCCTTCTGCTGCAGTTCTTTGACCATAAAGGAGAATATTAATTGCTGCTGTCTGTGGTTTTTTTGAATTGATGAAATCCAAAGAATAGTGGTTGACATTAAACATGGATTATGTAGATATTTATCATGATCCACTGGAAATAATAGAATCTTTAATTTGAAATTTGACTTATTTCTAAGTATTATACTTGGTTGTTCCAGAAGATTCTTTGGGAGAATGCATTTTAAATATCCCCTCCCCCCAAAAACCCTCAAGTGAAGCTTTTCAATAAGAGTTCCATACTTTTTTAATCTTCTGAATCCACGCGGTTCTGTGACTAAGTGGTGTGTGCTTCAATATAATCTTCCAGGCTTTGGACTCTTTTACAAAAGCTGTGAAAGCAAATCCTGACTTTGCAGAAGCCTTTTATCATCGGGGACTTTGTAAAGTAAAACTCAACAAGGATAACTCAATCCTGGACTTTAATCGAGCAATTACCCTCAATCCCAGACATTACCAGGTATTCAAATAAATGATGTCAGTGATTTGGAGAATATGTTAGTATTGGTGAAACTATTAAATAATTTATGCGTGATTGATAAAAAAGCAGTTCTCTCTCTCTCTTTCTCTCTCTCTCTCTTTGTGTGTCTTTTTTTTCTTTCCCTTCTCCCTCCCTCCCTCCTTTCCTCCCTCCCTTCCTCACCTCTTCCTCCTTTTCCACCCCTCCACCCTTTTTGAGACAGCATCTTATGGAGCACAGAATGGCCTTAAACTCGCCACGTAGTATAGAATAACCTTGAATTCTTGATACTTCTACCTCTGCCTCTCAAGTTTGGAGATTACAGATGTGCATTGTTATCATATCCGACAACAGTTAACTATATTTTAACAACCCACCTTTTTGTATTCCTTTCTGCAACAGAAGTATTACTTTTAACATAGATATTACATTTGTAAAAATATTTTGAGAATTGTTACATATGTAAATATTTCAAATACATTAATTTATTTGCTAATAATTTTAACTTATATGCTGTAATTTTATTACTTTCTTGCTTTCATATCAATGAATTTTAAGGGACAACAAAAAATTTAGTAGATGAAATTTGACTTAGTTCTTGATTCTAAATTAAATTTGAGTTGATAATTAATAGCAACTGTCCTAGACAAATAATGTTGGTGTAGTTATGTAGGGCAATGTCTTTTTTTCACAGGAGACTCCTACTAAAGGAAATGGGGTGAAGAATTATGGTGTATACCATTTGTTTTTCAATAGTTTAGGGGGAAATGGGGAAAGCAAGCATAGTCAGCTACACACTAGTGATTACTGGATCCAAATAGTAGCCATAAGTATGATCCCTGTAAAATGATTTCAGTTATTCTGTATGTTTAAATTTTTAATGAAAAGAAATGGGAAAACTATATCTTAATATTGTGTTTAGTACAAAGCATATATTTGCTTGAAGTTCCATATATTCTGGTAGAACGGAAGGTTTTATTCAAACATCTATCTCTGCTTCTGTTCTTCTCTGACAAGGCATATTTAAGCCGAGTAGCCTATTATGGTATGAAGGGCAGATACTCCAAAGCAATCCTGAATTGTAATGAAGCCATCAGACTTTATCCTGAGAGTGTGCGTGCCTACATCTGCAGGGGAGTTCTGAAGTACTACAACAGAGTAAGCCATTCCTGCCAGGTTTACTGAGTTCAGAGTTGAGGCTTCTCCGCTTGTTAACTGGGCACTCACTCCCCGCATTTCTCAGCTATATGGCATGAGATTGTGTTATCTAGATAATTGTGGTGTTCCCACAATTATACTTAATCTTTGAATATATGATACATAATATTCCACCATAGTTTATACTTAATTACTTGATGGTTAGATATTTGGAATGTTTTTATATTTCACTATTCATTTTAAATAATGCATTTATATGTGATGAGAATAAAGTCATTGTTTGAGTGTCCTACATAGAAATCCCTGGGTAAAATGTCATGATATCTGATGCTACATGAAATCATTATTCCTCCCTGATTACATTTTTGACTTTTCTTCATTACTATATCATATGGAATACTTTGCTTTAGTGTTTTAAAGCAAAGGTGAGAACTTGCATAATGTATCAATTCCCTGAAAATTACTCTGTTCAGAAATGATGACATAAGGTATCAGAGGAGAATGGAAGGGGGTGAGAGGGTGAATGTGGGTAGACAATGTTGTGACTGTGTGATATGACAGTATGGCTGGCGGAAGTAAGTCAGACCTTCGGTGCTCACCAGGGGACTGCGACTTGCTGTGCTCACCAGGGGACTGCGACTTGCTGTGCTCACCAGGGGACTGTGACTTGCTGTGCTCACCAGGGGACTGTGACTTGCTGTCCTTTTTTACAGTCAGCACCACTTTCTCCAAGCCATTTAGCAACACCGGTGTAATACTTGCTTAAATTATTTTTTTGAGATTTCATTTTATATTTATGAGTGTTTGCCTGCATATGTGTTTGTGCACTATATGTGTGCAGGGTCCATGGAGACCAGAAGAGAGTGTTGGATCTCCTGGAACTGGGGTTACAGACAGTTGTGAATTTTGGGTGCTGGGAATTGAACCTGCATCCTTTGGAATAGCAGCCCAGTGCTCTTAACTGTTTAGCCATCCCTCTAGCTCATAATTGCTTAAATTTAAGTTACTGACATCCTTAATTTTATTTGTAAGTGAAAAAAAAAAACTGTAAGAATCCCTACCAAGATCTTCCTAGTGAACAATGTGAAAGACTACCTTCACTGTGTTAATTTTAAAGATGATATATAGAATCTTATAGGAATGGTTCAAATACTGATAGGATCATGTGTTCGTTTTGAGATTGAACTTGTCTATTATGATTTATCCTTCTCTTTCTTTCATCTTGTAGAGTTACAAACTAGCTATTACAGATTTAACTACAGCTGTCAACATGGACAAGAACAGTTACACAGCATTTTATAATAGAGCACTGTGTTACACCAAGATAAAGGAACATGAGATGGTAAGTAACCATTTTAGTAAACGAGAGATTTAAAGAATTTGAGAAGCAATGTGCATACAATGGCTTTTTGACTTAAACAAGCAATCAATAAAGAATATTTCATAAGCAACATATTAAAGCATTTGTAAACGTACTTAAAACACCCGTATTTTCTTCTTATCTCTGCTTTAATGTTGGAAAATAATTCCTATGGAAATACACACATAAAACGTGAGAAAGCACAGAGAATCATTTCAAAATAATATTGGTTTCTCTCCCAGTGCTAAATTATCTCATGTAGTTTCAGAAATGTCAATTTGTTTTTATAATGCCTATACAAATATTTAAATGGCTATATAAATTAAGATAATTACATAAGTATAATTTGAGTAAATGTTTTACTGATATACTGCTTTACAAAATTTTATAGAAGTGATCACTAGCAATGGTGTTTTACAACTTGGAGCCAAGCTAGAGCAATTCATGGAGGTGTTTGTTACAGAATTCCGAGCCTGTACATGCAGGGAAGAGTGTAGAGACATGTGTTCCACCTGCAGAGACTGTTGACAGGGACTTGCCCGCGTGTTGTAAAGGTTGCTGCAGCAACCATATTTCTCTGTCAAACTCTTTTATATTTTCTCATCTTGCTCCGAGTGCCTCATCCTTGGTCAGTGTGGTTGATTTCAGTGAGAATCAGCTCAGCGGGATCACCCACCTGCAGGTCCTTTGTATTCTGCTCCTCGCTCTTGCTTCTTCTCTGTGTCTCCTGATCTCTCCCTCCTTCCTCGTTTCTGACCCTTCCATAGCAGCAGCGTGTTCTTTTAGAAGACTCAACATTCCCACCGTTCCCGGTGGACACACTCCTCAGTCTGTAAGACTCAGCCAAGCCGCCTACTGCTGCTAGAGATTTGGAAGTCACAAGGAAGACAAAGGTTGAGAAACCTCTGTCCAGCAGGAGAACGCAACATTCCTGACAGCTAGCCCAGCAAGTTTGTAGACAAATGAATTATTTTCAACGAAGCAATTGCTAAAGGAGGTAGCTAAAGGATCATTTAGCAGGGACCTACAAAGCAGGTGTCTTTGAGGTCTTTTCCTTACATCCCCATCAGCCTGAAGGGAAGCTCACACCAAATACAAGGAACTGGGCAAGGAAGGAACTCCCACGTGTTATCTCAGTCCTGTGGAAAAGCCAATTCTTGGTTAATGAAGAACGTGCAAGCCAATCTGAATAAATGAGACCAAAATAGAGTTGCAAAAGAGTGGTGATTGTCCAGGCCCCAGGCCCCCAGAGCATTTCATCTGCTCACTTTACAGACAGGGAAAATGAAGAAGGGAGAGGCCCCAGAACTTATCCAAGTCCCACAGGGAGTCAGAAACTCACCCTGGCATTCAGGCATTTGTTTCTGGGTTCACAGTTCCTCGGGAGCTTTTTAGGGCCATCTGACTCTGGGCTGGATGGTGTGTCATTGCCAAGTGTCAACACCTCCCCTGGGCCCACCTTCCCCTGCTCTGCAGCATTCCTTCCCTCCCTGGGCTGGCATGCGCAAGCATTCTTTATAGATATAGAGTTTCCTAAAATCTAAGCATGGTGAATTTTTTTTTGTTTGAAATTTTTATAACTCAGAAGTAGTCACTGTTTGACATTTCCAAGCACAAATGCTTAAACAATAGCAGGAGCAAAATATGTATGGTTGAAATACAAAGCTGAAGAAGTATAATGAAATTTAACCAACTAAAATCTCTACAGACAGTTTTCTCTTTCTTTTTTTTTTTAAATTTGCTGTCTTTTACCCGCTCCGAGAACTTACAAGAGTATTTTCCGGTTCTTGTGTCCCTAAACAAGGATTTGGGATGCTGCACACATAGATCGGAGAAGGAAAAGAATGGGTTTATTAAGGGGATTCAAGACACTACTAAGCCTGGCAGTGGGTCAAGGCTAGAGAAAGGCCAAAGTTTCCATAGGGCCTAACACAGTGGATTGGAGGAGCAGTACTGTGCACACATTTTTTTTTCTTTTAAAATGCTCTGCTATGTTGGCCTTGGGAACTGTGATAAGGGGTTTCTAGACTGGTTTCATTCTTTATTTTTGTTATCATTTTTGAAATTGTATGAGTTTTGCCTTCATGTATATCTATGCACCATGTGCATGCAGTACCCACAGAGACCAGGAGAGCTGGATCTCTTGAGACTGGAGTTACGGTGGTGAACTGTCAGGTGGAGATGGAAATCAAACCACGGTTCTCCGGAAGAGCGGCCAGCGCTTTTAATCACCAAGACATCTTTCTGGCAACCAGACAAGCTAGTTGATTCAGAAGGTCTAAAGTAGATTCCAGTGGTATCTTCTATATGCACATTTTGACCTCATGCTCTTGAAGTATTTACAAGTGAACTCTAAAATATACTAAAATGTTAATATTTCAGTTTTGTAACTTAGAAAACCGACTTCCAGTTAAGTAACTTTTCTTAAACTCAGAATCTAGTAATAGCAACCAGTGATACAAATTCAGAGCAGGCTGTGGCTCTCACTCTCTTAACCAAGACTTTCAGGTTAGACAATCTGGGAAATGCCTGTAATTTCAGAATGTAGAGATTCAAGGCAGAAGGATCATGAGTTCAAGGCCGGTGTGGTCTCCAAAGGAAGTTCTGATCAGGTAGAGTTACATGACATGACACTACCTATCTCACGGATCAATAAAACAATTGGAAAACCAAAACAGAAAGCACCTTTGGTGTCCCCACCTCCACCACCCTCCCTGAGATTCCATGAACTCTTAGAATCTTTTCTCATGTTCAGCTGCTGGATGGATCTCAAGCGCATCTAGAGACTCTGCACTCAGTGAGTCCATGAGTCAGACAAGGCGTAATGAACAGTAGGCAGTTCCTCAAGCATCGCTAAATATTTTAATAAGCCTGTCAATATTTATATTTACAATATCACAGAATACATACAGGATCTCTGTACAGTCTCTTTAGACATATGTGCCAGGAAATAGAGAAGGACAAATGAGCAGAAAGTTAAATTTTGTTTATTTCCCTTTTTAGTTAGCTGATACTTTAGTCATACAAGAATTGACCCTTGTTTGATGAGGCATGTGTCTCTTCTGAACAAAATATTCACTAAAAATAACTTAGAAGAACTCACTCCTTGGTACTTAGTGCAGAGGAGACATCAGTGAAGCTTTGCCACTTCAGTCAGTGGAGAAATATAAGGAAAAGCGATTTCTTCCTGGCAGATTCACTCTTTGAGCTCAGATAGCTCTCTTTAAAAACAACTAGAAGGCTCTCAACAAACTTCAAACTTCCCTATTTCCCTCTTCAGTCTTATTGTGATCCCTTTTCCTTGTGGTTTCTTCATTTGACAAATTTGTGACTTATTCACTTTCTAAATGCCTGTTATGCGAAGGCAGGATACTTGTCACTAGGTTTACAGCAGTGAAAAGATTAAATTCTTGCCTCCTGCAGTTTAGACTCTAGTGGGGAAGGAGATAACATTATAAAAAGTATTTAAATTTCAAACAGTACTCTTCACTTTGTCTCATATGAATGTGATATTTGGGGAAAGTATCTAGTGTGTGTATGTCGGGGGGTGGCAAGGGAGGCAGTGGTGAGTCCCTTCCTTCCAAACTGTGCAATGCACAGGAACATACATGGGTGGCAAAGAGATGGCATGTGAACTACAAGCACGGTGAGTACTTATTTAAAAACAGCACTAGTCATAATAATATGGCTAAAAGGACTCTTCACATCGAGCATAGACTCATGGCCATTCCAGAATCGATTCTGAGATCCCACTCTGGGTAGAAGCATATTTGTCTCAGGGCAATGGAGTAAGCAAGGCTCTAAAGAATGGCACCATGGCTCTAAGTGATTGTTTTACTTGTAGGCTTTGAGAGATTATGGAATTGTGCTGCTTCTTGACTCGGGAAAAGGGATAGCATTAAATACCTATATTAACCGTGGACTCATCTACACCCAACTAAAGCAGTACGGCTTTGCACTAGAGGTGAGCCTTCTTGTGGATATGGGGAAATGACCTACTTGATTTCACACATCCTCAAAAAACTGGTATTTAGTGCTACAGCATAGCAGTATTAATGAACGAGTATTAGTAAAAATTTACTGAAATATGTGGAATGACTAATAGAGCTTTTAATAAAACCTAAGCACTTTCCCCTTTATTTTAAATACAGCTGAATGGTTAATATGTTAATATTTTTAAATTAAGGATATCATCTCCCAAAAGAAGTACACGGAAAATTCAATTGTTTGATGAAATTGTTTGTACATTTTTAAATCTGTTCTCCAATGCTTTCTGACTCACAGTTTTTCTTCTGTTGAAATTTGTCAAAATAAATCTGTTTCAAACAGGGTGGGACATAGTTGTGTAGAATGGGCTACTAGCCTTTCAAGTCTTTAAGAACAGGTCTGGAACTTATGGAAGCATATTGGAAAGAAACGGGTAATTTTTATTGCATTATAGAATAAACATAATTTGTAATTCTCATTTTTAGCATTTATTATGACTTGTCAGTAATTAAAATTTAGAAACAAGGCAAAGGTGAAATATGCACTGACAGTTAAGTGAAGGCCATTTCATGTATTTGTTGCATCTATACAACCTTATATGATGAAATATTTCCTTGCTACATTCCAGCTTTTACAGTGGTGCAAATTTGGTTCTTATTTTCTTTCATGCTGAAATATTTCTGTAGGAGGTGATTGGAAGCCATAGACAATATTTTTCATGTCCTGGTCCATTTTGGCAGGCTCTCTTGCTCTGTGATACAGCCTGTTCCCCACGGCCATTCAAATTCATTCCTGCCTACTTTCCAAATTCTGCATCCTAGGGTTAGAGTTTCTGTTTCTCCACTTCAGGAGGGTTTCTGGATCCTTAAACAGGAGTCATACACCTCCTTCCATAAGTGTGGGTTCCTGAAGTGGATTCAGACTTGACCAGTCTATGTACAGCGCTCCCTTCTTCCCATTTACAAGCCTGGCACCCAGTTGTCCAGTGCGTCATGTCATTCCAAAGGTTCTTTCCAGGGGAATTTCCTTTTCTGTCTGAGAAGGGATGTTTCTGGTGGCATAGACAATAAGAGGAAGTAAATGAGGTACTTTATTACATACCCCAGGGCAGCACCACAGGAAAAGTCCCTGTTCTTAAGGCAGACTGGGAATGCTAATAATGATCGGCATTCCTTGCTCCATCCTTTCTCATTCAACGAGATTCTAAGAAGAAAACAAAGTTTTAGCAAGATGTCTATTTTAATGCTTTAGGTGATGCATACTTATGTGTAGTTAGTGAGTTTTAAGAAAAATCCATGACAAATTAACAAAATTTTATGAAACTGTTTCAGGATTTTAAACAAGCTGCGCTAATAAGCGAGACTAGCGTGAGCCTTTTTCAAGCAACCGCCATGTGCCACCACAGGTATGGAGTGCCTTCGTTGTCAAAGGGGAAGCAAACAGCGGGAACCAGCAGATGTATCCAGTTAGAGCCCCATACAGAAGTGAATGGGGGTGGGCAGATCAAGCATTCTTCCATAGATACAAGGACCCTATCAGTAGCAACCTTGTACCTTCTAAAAGACTGACTTGAACCAAATGAGCAATTAAATATTTATATCACGTACTGAAGATGTCTGCTTGGTTCAAGCCTATACACAAAAATGTTGATTAAATGTATGCATAGCTGGAAATATCTAGATATAAAATAATTTGTTCAGAAAGTCCATTTCCTAGAAAAGAGGGTGACTTTAAAATATTCTTCTTAAAAAAAATATTCTTAAGAAAAAAATTTGCACCAATAAGAGATATTTATATATCTAAAACTACTAAAAAAATCCAAGAAAATGTCTAGAAAATGCATTAAAACCTACAAATATATAATACTTAAGAGTTAACTCTTTCTGAGATTTCTATAGAATCACATTATAAACAAGGACAGTTAAAATAACAACAGTGACCCACAACCTTCAGAACAACTGCACAGATTTTAATATGGACACAATGTTATTGTTTAGTAATAGTTTATACCATTACTTTTGGTAAGAGAAAGAATAGCAGTTAGTTGAAGAGTAAATTGTGATAATTTGAGAAGTCTTGTCTCAAAAAAAAAAAACAATGACAAAAATATCACAATGATTCGTAAATTATGTCTGTACAAATACAGAGTTTAAATGGCTAGAAGAGAGTTTGAATTAGTTGGGAAACTGGCATTCTAATTTTTCTTTTTAGGAAGTAGATATACAGCTACATTTCCCCCATGAGAAGTAAAGCTTTTTATTGTAGGAAAAAAGTAATACTGTAGTTGTAAATTCTGCAGATGCCTTTGGGCTAAAACCTGGTCTCAGACCTTTCATTATCCACAGTCATACCTTTGTCTATTGTGATGCGTCGATCTTTGTGCGATCCATCTCTTTAAGAATGTGCCATTCTTAAGAAGAAATGGAATGGTGACTGATGTGTTTACTTTGGTGGATGTGTGTAGACCAAAATGCCTGAGATCATGGCATCTGTCAACATTTGAAACATCCCCCAACTTCTCTAGGCCTCCTTTCTATTTACCAGCTATTAGAATTGGTCAGTGTCTGCCAGTGTTGAACTCACATCTTTATGAAATATGATCTTGGGGTACAACAGCCAGGATCCCTAAAGCTGATACTGCTCTGTAGTTCCAGCAGCTCTCTGGGGTCTCCACTGTTCTCTAATAAAAGTGGAATTTAAATCAACCGCAAAGCTCCGGCAGCTCAGAGTTTCAATTCCGTGTGTATTGGGTTTTTACACTTTTACTGAACTTTAACAACAGGGAATATTTAGTGATTATGTATTCTTTAGAAAAATTATTTTGGCAACATACTTATACTATGGAAGAATGACTTGCGACTATCGAACTTACTTCTGACATTTTTGGGGTAGGAAAAAGGTTTTTTTTTCTAACTTTGGAAATTTTATAAAAATAATAAACCTTTAAAATCTAGGGCTTTGGTCTTCGATTGTAGGGTGCTGACTTTTGAAGCATCCTTTGTGCGTTTCTAGCTCTCACGCTTGTGGCTTCCAAGAGATAACATTCCTTAGGCTGAATATCCAACTTATTGACCAATTTATTCACGAACAGTGTTATGCTAATGTGAACTTTTAATCTCAATGAGAAAGTCATCTTTGTATTTTAAAAAATAGTATCTTATTTTTTAAGATACCACAACACATTTGTTATACTTTTTTGATATTTTCATAAGCTATTTTTAAGTCTTTAACTCTGCAAACCACATTCTTCAGTGTTTGTGGGTATTAGTGATTTGTTAGAACAACTCAGAAGAACGTTTCTGGTCACATCTGTGATTACTGTAAACTCAGTGAGTCTGTGTCCATGACTCAGAGCAGACACTGTAAACTGGAGCTCCCCCCTAAGAGTGATGGCGTGACTTTGAGATTCACCTTAAAACATTTATTTTCAGAAAACCTTTTAATGTACTTTGTATACATGACAGCCAATATTCAATGAACACCCACCTGAAGCAATGTAGATATTCAGCCAGATCTTCTCGCTGGATAACTGTCATGCTGGGTAGGATGCAGTGGCAGACCTGTCTCCAGAAAAATGAAAGTGTTCTTCCTACAGGGCATCCTGTTCATTTCCTCCTTGTCTATTGGTGTAGGAGGCAGGGGAGACTCTGTCTTCAGTGAAGTGGGGTGTGCCTTAAAAAGAAAAGAAATACTAAATACATATAAACTTATATTTTATGTATGCTATGAGTCAGTCAATTATGGGATAAATTCTGTAGGAGGCATTATTAAACAAGTTTGTTTTTATGTGAGAATCATGAAGTATACTATTATAGTTATGGCATCTCTAGGCGATATAAGTTTCTATGATTATCATTGTATATATGGTCCTCTGTAGATTGAAGCAATCAGATGGATTGAGACTGTAATTTAAATAGCATACGTTGTCAATATCAGTGCATGTTTTCTGTGTTGGTAACTCATCATTGTTAAAACAAAATTTAGAACTGCCTTTAGACTTCTATATTTTTGAAAAAATAGAGTTCTAGAATAACATTCCACATTGTGCTGTGAAAATGGGTTTAATTTTTATATTTATTTATTTTGTGTGATCACACAAACATGTGGATATTAGATAGCTATGTCTTTCTACCATGTGGGTTATTGAGATCAAACTCAGGTCATCAGGTTTGGCAGCAAGTGTCTTTTCCCATTGAGCCATCTTGTGGTCCTTGAAAATGATTTTTATTTCTTGTCTTCTCCTCACCAAAATCTCCAGAGATACTTCTAGACTTCCTTAGATCATATAGACTTATGTATTTCTTATGATTGATGGTAAAAATAAAAGGCTTTCTATAATAGTTTAATACAAATCCTTTTGATAAAGTCATGTGCAGAAAGCATCGACTAGATTACTAGCAGACACCATTTTACCAGAAGGCATCACATTTTCTTCCTTTCTTTTCCCCGCAGAATTAAAGAGTTTGAAGGTGCTGTTGACTTTTTCACGAGGGCTGTTAAAATTAACACACATTTTCTGGATGCTTATATTGGACGGGGGAATTCTTACATGGAGTATGGACAAGATGATGCCCTTAAACAAGCACAGAAGGACTTCCTGAAAGCACTGCATATTGACCCATCATGTTTAAAGGCGAGGATTAGTCTATGCTATAATTTGCAGGTAAAATATAATAGCATCTTCAGCATCGAGAACATTATTTGGACAGGAGAAAGAGATATTTGGCTTTTTGTTGGTGATGTGACCAGATGTTCTTTCTCAGGCTATGGACATTTAGTTTTCCTTTACTGCAGTATGGAGGGTAGGAGCCGGGAGCAAGGACTCAACTGAATACAGAGAATGTACTTAGAGGAACCTGAGCAGAGCTGAGACTTACGCAAAATGCTGCAAGAGATGGGACTGATTGTTATCATGACAAATGCCCAGGAACATGTTAGAGAAAAATGATCGCCTTCCTACAGTTAAACCTAAAATTCTCATTCTAATCACAATACAAGCAATTCACAGTCCATTTAAGGAATGGATTGGATGACTTTAAAAATAGGGCTGACTGGCAGCCAAGGCAATATGCTCACACAATTCACAGCTGAGCACCTATGACATGGATGAGGAGTGGCTCTCGGCCTCCAGAGACAGTCTTCTAGAAGAACATAGTTTCTTTTGGATAGGTGAACTCATTTGGAGAGATAGGCACTGTTCTGTGTATGGGGTAATGATTTGATCGTAATTGTGATAAATGTAACAAAAACAAAATAAAAAACAATCCCTAAAGAGTTTTTAGTACAAAATAAGCCCAACTAAGGGGTAAGAGAAGTTACTGATAAATTAACATTTATGTTGAGGTGTAAAAGATTAGTAGTTGGTAGGGAAGGGATTAGGGCTAGGATTTAGTCTTGAGACGAGGGGAACAACCATTGAGGACACACCGTAAGAAGAGGCAGAAGCTTCACATAAGGGGAATGTGGCAGGTAGAGGGAGATTTGTGATGATAATAGAGAATTAAATAGGAGCTGGAACAAAAGCTTTGAAGTCTAGTTAAAATAGGAATATCACCGATCAGAGTCATGCCATCAAATGTGTATTTTATGAAAATTCCACTGGGTAAATACCCAAAAAGGGCATTGAAAAGCACATTGGTATGGAAGAGTGAATGAGGAAAGGGAAAGGCTTATGGAGGAGTGTTAGGGCCAACCAAGTGCTGCCCAGAGAAAGAGTGACAGCCTGTTCTACAGGTACAGGTAGAGCCTTTACTGTTTGCCCAAAACTGGGGCTGACAGTGAGCACAGCAGACGTCAAAACAACTGATAACTTAAATCCGATCATAGGTGGTTTGCGGCTTAATATTCTGATGGTACAACCTCAGTTTGCCTACTTTTGCTTATTAGATAAACTTGTGATAACTTGCAGATTTCCAGGCACTTGACTCCGAGAGTTTGCTCATTGGAAATTGGGATCTAGTCCTCTATGTAGTTATATTTCTTTATAGCTTTATGTGAGATTCACTGTGCCTAGGTTGGTTAGAATGTGCCAGTCTCTGAGACTCTGGCAGGTTGAGTATTTGAGCCTGTGAGAGAAAGAACAGAAGTTGGACCGTCGTGAATTAATTAACTCCCTGCCTTCCTGTGGGAAGGTGTTTAGTTGCCAGCTGGCCTGCTCTGCAAAACACTCTGACATCTTTCTAGAACCAGTGCCTCTCTCCTGACCTTTTTTTCTCTTTTCTCCAGTTGGCACTAAGGCTGTTAGAAGCAGATGCTTGGTAGACTTACATGCATCTTCTGTAGAGTTTATAAAGTGTTCCTAAAATTCAACAATTTATTTTCACTATTACTATTATTTATGTTTTCACTATTACTATTATTTATGTAACACATACTAATTTTTCTTTGTGCATTATGTGTATATTATAGATATCTGGAAATATCTATCTATCTATCTATCTATCTATCTATCTATCTATCTATCTATCATCTATCTACAAACATACACAGACAGACAGACACACACACACCATGCACACACACTTACTTGAGACAAGGTCTCACTATGCTGACCAGGCTGGTCTCAAACCCACAGATATGTGTTTACTGCCTCCTGAGTGCTGGGTTCAAGGATGTATGCCATCACTTTCGACTGTTGTGGATGCCACTGTAAGTTTTTTGATACCCAACAGAAGTATGGGTGTTACATAGAAGCTATGACTTTAACTTGTCTAAGGTTGTATAGTAGATGACTATAAAATTAAATTTATTTGAACATAATTTGGTCATAAATATTTAAAGGCAAATATTTCATTAAGGATGCTCGTTTTGTAGCCTGCAGTCTTATTTTTATTTAAAATATTTTAGCTTTAGTACCATATAATATATACATCACCAAAAATTATAATGAGTGAGATCAGAAACATTTGCCTTGTTATAGACTGTTTCTCGCTTCATGAAATTGAATAACTATTTTAGGCCCAAGGAAAGTTCCAGAAAGCTTGGAATCACTTTACAATTGCCATAGAAGCTGAACCAAAGAGCTATCTAGCCTATGAAGGACGAGCTGTCATTTGTCTTCAAATGAGTAATAATTTCGCTGCAATGCAGGATATTAACGCTGCCATCAAGGTAAAAATCTAGATTGATGATAGTATTATTAGCATACATTCAAACCATCAATGAATAAGGCTAAGTTACTTGCTCTCTGTTACCTAGTTCAGGTAGAGAAATAATGTTTTGTTTCCCCAGAGTTCTGCCTAGAGTAAAGAGTTACTATGATGTGCTTATTTTGTAGTCTAAATGCATTTAAAATTTAAAATCAAAATTATTAATAAGCACTAATTCATTTTAGCAAATGCAGCTTGTGTGTTTCATAGGACATTAATATTATTTTGCAATATGAAATGAATTCAGAATGGAACAGTGATGTCCCAAGTGTGAAGCAATTGGAGAATAATACAGATGTTCAGCTTCTTCCTATCACGAAGGAACAGCCTTCTCATGCTTTGCATTCTCTTCCAGATTTTAGTTTTGTTTCTATAATTTTGAAATATTTAGGGGTAATATAAGGGGTAAGAAGGGAAAGGACTTAAAGATAATTGTCTCAACATAGGAGGGTGGAGCATGTTAACTGCTCAATTTAATATCTTCTCTCATTTAAGAGATCCAAAGGTAAATGTCCCCCATGTCTACTCCTTGGAAAGAACTTGAGTAAAGCTCTCAGATTCTTTGTTTTATGTAATCATTCAATAAAACATTGACATGAAAGCAATCTCTTCCAAGTCCTTTCTGACGATATCTGCTCTAATTGGGTTGTATGTACCCGTACTGTAGCAGCCCCTGTCCCCATAAGTGGATTTCATCACCTTCATTTCACAGACATGAAATTGGAGATTCATGCTATTCCCAGATGCCAAATCCTCCTACGATTGTGTTGCAGATCAATACTACAGCAGAATTCTTGACAAATCGTGGTGTGATTCACGAGTTTATGGGTCAACAGCAGAACGCAATGACAGACTATCAGGCAGCAATTTCTCTGGACCCCAAGTACTCGCTGGCTTACTTCAATGCTGGGAATATCTACTTTCGTCACCGGCAGTTTTCTCAGGCAATGTGCATTTTCCTTAGCATCTTCTGTTGGCGTTAAAGACTTCTTTAATGTTGTTATGCTTTTCACAATTTATGTTCTTCTTTGCCATTTTGTGTCGAATGAATTTACTTATCACTTACTGATTTATACTATGATAATTTGTTGATGCTCTGTCTATTTTCCGAGTGTTGTTTTGTCAGAACACCATATATTTTTGGTTTTTATTTTTAAAAACTGAGTACGATACAGATAATGTGAAATTTATCATCTTAACCACTTTGCAATTCATGGTAAATGTATGCCATCATGCATTCTATAATCTTGCACTTGCAATTTGAATTTCCCCTCTTGATTGGGAATATCAGTTGGGAAAATAATCAGGTGAAAGTATTTTTATATTTTCTATGATTTATGGATACATAAAATGTATTTTACTCTGTGCTATGTTCCCTTTTGAGTATTTTCATTTTTCTGATTTATAGCAAGGTTTATACTTTTATTCTAGTGGCAATAAAACTACCTTTATGACCCTTAGTTATTATTTCCTTCTCATTAACACAGTAGCTCGAATCTACAATCTTCAGCTTTGTTTTTTTTTTTTTAACTTTTTTCTTTTTTTGGAGACAGTCTTCCTGCGTAGCCCAGATTAGTGTCTACTTTGTGATCATCCTGATTCTCCCTCCCGAGAGAACAGTGCTGGCATGATTATAGGTGTGTGTGACCACGCAGCCTGCAAACTTTAAAAAGGGGGAAGCCCTTTTCCTCATACCCACTCCAGCTTCCTCCTCAATTTCCCTACTGATTGCCACAGAAATATCTTTTTTTTTGTTTTTTTTTATATTATTTTTTTATTTTTAAAACAACCTTATTTTACATACCAATCCCCATTCCCTCCCCTCCCCTCTTTCTGCTCTCCCTACCTTCTCCCTATCCCCATCCCCTATTCACTTCTTAGAGAGGGTGGGGCCTCCCATGGGGAGTCAAAAAAGTCTGTTACATCACTTGAGTCTAGACCAAGGCCCTTCCCCATGTATCTAGGCTGAGCAAGGTATCTTCCATAGGGAATGGGCTTCAAAGAGCCAGTTCATGCACTTGGGATAAATCCTGGCTCAATTGCTAGTGGCCCCACAAACTGCCAAAGCCGCACAACTGTCACCCACATCCACAGGCCTAGTTTGGTCTTATGCAGGTTTCCCAGCTGTCAGTCAGGTGTCAGTGAGTTCCTCCTTGCTCGGTTAAGCTCTTTCTGTGGGTGTCCCCATCATGGTCTTTGTCCCTTTGCTCATAATATTATTTCTCCGTCTCTATGGCTGGACTCCAAGAGTTTTGCTCAGTGCTTAGCTGTGGATCTTTACATCGGCTTTCAACAGTTACTGGGTGAAGTTCTGTGATGACAATTAAGTAGTCATCAATCTGATTACAGGGGAAGGACATTTAAGGTACCCTCTCCAATACTGCTTGGATTTTTAGCTGGGGTCATCATTGTGAATTCCTGGGACTTTCTCTAGTGCCTGGTTTCTTGCTAATCCCATAATGGCTATGTCTTTCAAGCTATCTCTATCCTTGTTCTCCCTCTCTGTCCTTTATCCAACCCAACCTTCATGATCCCTCATGTTTTCCTCTCCACTCTCCTTATCCCCCTCCCCATTTCCTACCACCCTCCCCCACTGCTTCCAATTTACCAAGGAGATCTTGTCTACTTCCCATTCCCAAAGGATCCATGCATGTCCCTTTTAGGGTTCTTTTTGTTTCCTGTCTTCTCTGGAGTTGTGGACCGTAGGATGCTTATCCTTTGTTTTATGTTCAATATCCACTTGTGAGTGAATACAAACCGTGTTTGTCTTCCTGGGTCTGGGTTAGCATTTTTGTTTTGCTCCACCCAAATTTGCCTACAAATTTTAAGATGTCACTGGGTGGTACTGCATTGTATAAACATTTTCTTTATCTGTTCTTCAGTTGAGGGGCATCTAGGTTGTTTCCAGGTTCTCTCTATTATGAATAATGCTACTATGAACATTGTTGAGCAAATGACCTTGTGATATGAGTGTGCATCTTTTGGGTATATGCCCAAGAGTGGTATTGCTAGATCTTGAGGTATTAAGCAATTTTCTGATAAACTGCCATACTGATTTCCAAAGTGGCTGTACAAGTTTGAACTCCCACCAGCCATGGATGAGCGTTCCCCTTACTCCACATCATCTCCAGCATACTCTTTCATGGGTGTTTTTGATCTTAGCCATTCTGACAGGTGTAAGATGGTATCTCAGAGCTGTTTTGATTTCCATTTCCCTGATAGCTAAGGATGTTGAGCAGTTTCTTAAGTGCCTTTTGGCAATTAGAGATTCCTCTGTTGAGAATTCTCTGTTTAGATCTCTACCCCATTTTTAAATTGGATTATTTGATATTTTGAAATGTAGTTTCTTGAGTTCTTTGTATATTTTGGAGTTCAGCCCTCTGTCAGATGTGGGGTTGGTGACTATTTTCTCCCATCCTATAGGTTGCTGTTTTGTCTTATTGACTGTGTCCTTTGCCTTACAGAAGCTTTTCAGTTTCAGGAGGGCCCATTTATTAAGTGTCTATCTCAGTGTCTGTGCTACTGGTGTTATATTTAGGAAGTGGTCTCCTGTGCCAATGCGTTCAAGGCTACTTCTCACTGTCTATTCTATGAGGTTCAGTGTGGAGGTCCTTGATTCATTTGGACTTGAGTTTTGTGCCAGAGAATATGTGTGTGTGTGTGTGTGTGTGTGTGTGTGTGTGTGTGTGTAAGGATAATGAAGGAGGTACCTGATCCCTGATGCTTCTTTTCATTTGGCTTCCAAGCTTCCATGAGGAGAGCAGCCTCATGTCCCCACCATGATGTACTGTGTGGACACAAATTCCTGAAGGGTCAGGAATCAGGGTTTGGGACCTCATAAACAGTCAGCCCTAAATAGATACTTTCTCTGTTTTGACTCTTTTGAATGTTATTTCACACTTACTGACTAGAACATGGCCAGAAAATGACTGCTCTTTGGACTGGAGAGGGAGGGGGAGAGGAAATGGGGGGAGGGAGGGGGAAATGGGAGGAGGTGAAAAAATTTAATAATAATAATAAAAAAAAACAAAACCCACTACCAACAACAACAACAAATGATGGCAACTTTTACTTTTACTTCTCATTTTTTCTTACAATCCCTTCTGTATTTGGGATAAAATGCTCTCTCTGCTTTCTTAGAAAACTGTTGGGCTTAATATTAAATTAAAGTAAGAGGAGTTCAGGTTTCATGATATCTGTTAATTAAAATATATTAAAATGCTCATTATCCTTACCTTTTATAGGCCAGTGACTACTTTTCAAAGGCTTTGGAATTTAATCCAGAAAATGAGTATGCTCTCATGAATCGAGCTGTTACGAACACAATATTAAAGAAATATGAAGAAGCAGAAAAAGATTTTTCATGTGCAGTTGATCTCTGTCCCCACTGGGCTGCATTGTATTTTAACAGAGCCAATTTCCATTTCTGCTTAAAGCAATATGAACTAGCTGAACAAGACCTTAGCATAGGTAGGTGTGTTTTGTAACCATGTTGATGCTGACAAGATGGTAGCAATTAGTGTGCCTGTTTTCAGACTCCAAAAGAAGAACGGCATCAAGGATGCGTGTAGCATCACGTTCTTAATGTGACCAATACAGATTCCTTTGTGTAAGATCTCAACACATTGCTAAGCTAAGTTAGAATTATTAGGAAATCACATGCAAACAATGCTAGTCTTCCAGAGAAAGGCAATCTACTGTGATTTCCTGCGTTCATCTTCTTTAGAAATATCAGATGTTTCTAATTTAACTGCATTGTTACAGTTGAAGAAAAACACTTAAAATGAGCACGAAGGGAGATTTCTGCCAACATATCTAGACTTTTCGTCTTCTTTTGCAGCCCTGTCTTTGAAGCCTGATGAAGCTGCAATGTATAATCTCAGATCACAAGTTCGTGGCAAAATAGGACTGATAGAGGAAGCTATGAGCGACTATAACAGAGCCCTCGATCTGGAAGAATGTTTCCCAGCTATGTGATTACACAGCCTCTTGTGGTTTCTGTACTAGGTTAAGTATATTTTCTTCCTGAAACTGAAATATATTTGTTGTTTAGAAATGCCACTATTGTTATTGTATTTATTATACTCATTAAGTGATTATTCTTTTTAACCACTTAATGTATATTAAGAAACTTTATATTAGCCGGGGTGGTGGTGCCACATGCCTTTAATCCCAGCACTTGGGAGGCAGAGGCAGGCGGATCTCAGTGAGTTTGAGGCCAGTCTGGTCTATAAAGCAAGTTCCAGGACAGGCTCCAAAGCTATGGAGAAACCCTGTCAAAAAAAAAAAANGCAAGTTCCAGGACAGGCTCCAAAGCTATGGAGAAACCCTGTCAAAAAAAAAAAAAAAAAAAAAAAAAAGAAAGAAAGAAAGAAAGAAAGGAAAACCTGTTTATGTTACACAGTAACTGCAAAATTTTTACATGTTTTCAGACATGAGTTGTCTATCATGTAGCCTTGTTCACATCAGTGAAGCAAAAAGAAATGGCTCTCTGGTTCACCTAGTACCTCGATAGATGATGTTTTTCACAAGATCTTAAAAACGACTATTAATGCCTAAATTATTTTCTGAAATAGTAGAATGATAGAAAAAGTCCCCATATTTTCAGTGCCTATTAAACATATTCAACAGTTCCCAGCTTGAAAAGAGTAGTTATTAGGTGATGGGTATAAAAGACTGATGTCTCGTACATCTCCTCTCTCCCCTTTAAATGCTGTAAACCTTGACTAGAGTCTTCCTGGTCCCGTGCTCTTCCAGCACATAAACATGTTTTTTTTTTTCTATGTGCTGCTTGCTTCCAAGAATAACAGCTACAAGAATCTTGAGCATTCCATTCCTTGAGATAATCCATTCTTTCTCTCATTCATATTTCATAAACATACAAATAAATATGTATAAAAATCTGTGTATAGTTATAATTAATGCTTCATAGCACTCAGTGAACAAAATTGCAACTTTTGATTATCTTTTTTTTTCAGAAAAGGTCACACACAGTTTTTGTGGTCCAATAAACCTCTTTGCCAATGCAATAATCCAAATCAAACCAAATTAGAGAAAGCCCAGGTTTAATGGATACTCATGCGCACTCTGGTGGCCTTCCAGTCCCTCAGAGAGGAAATGGAAAAGGAAGATAGGAAAACCACTTGGCTTTATTGGGATGGCCAACCAAACTCTTTGGGTATAGAGGTGCCGGGGGCTGGGGTGATGCTTCCAAACATCATGTGGTCTAGATTGGCTTTGAATGCAGAGTGATCCTGCTCCAGTCTCCCAAGTGCTAGGGCTTCCAGTATGGGCCACTATGCCTGCTTACAGTTTCTTTATGGGATGTTTCTGAGGGACCTTAGGATGAAGCAGAGAGTCCTAGGTTTACTTCACTTCCAGTGACCAAGGCTTCCTGATTCTGAATTTACTCAGATTTGCCTCACTCAGTTTCCTTCTTGGTGTTTTACTCCCTTAATACGTCACCAGCACTTGAGAGGACTGCTAACTGGCTGGGATTTGGAAACACCTAAAGGAAAATAGTCTGATTGTGCCTATCAGGGAGTTTCCAGAGAAGTGTCACTAAGTTGGGAAGACCCACCCTGAGTGAGAGTGGTACTGTCCTGGGCTGAGATCTCGTACTGCGTAAGAAGGGAAGGCAATGGAACGCGACTGTTCTTCTCTCTCTCTCTGCTTCCTAACTGCAGACACAACGTGACCAGCTGCCTCTGGGTCCTAGGCACGGAGCCGCATGGTGGGTGAGAGCTGCATGGTGGGGCAGCCAGTCCCACAAGGAGCCACAGCAGTGGTGGGTGAGAGACAGAAACAGATAGGCACACTCCATGCAGGGAAAGTGGGTATTCATTTAGTGGGTTATGAAAGGGAAGGGGATGGGGGTCAGGGGAGAGGGGAAAGAGCAGAGAGAGGGAGAGAGAGAGAGAGAGAGAGAGAGAGAGAGAGAGAGAGAGAGAGAGAGAGAGAGAGAGAGAGAGAGAGAGAGAGAGAGAGAGAG